GCCTCAGTATTCCCCACCATCCCTCCACAGCCTCCACACCCAGCAGGGAAAACACCCCGAGAGTGGGGAGGGCAGGGGGACCCAGGGCTGCCGGCTGGCCGTCAGGACAAAGGCAGGGACCATCCAGGGACCCATGCAGTGGACAGCAGGGGCAGAAGGTCCAGCCACAGAGGGCAGAGCCAGGGCTGCGGCTCCAGTCCGGCAGCCACACCGGGGGTGCCCTCCCCACCTGTGTAGGGGGAGCCAGGTAGGGCGGCCGGACTGGGGACTGCTGAGCTAAGCTGTCCCAACCAGGGCCGCAAACTCTGGGGGCTTGCCGTCCCTGCGGGGATGCAGCCACTGCTGGGAAGGGTTTCAGGGCCCATAGACTCAGGAGCAAGCTGGGGGTGGAGGCAGCTTGGCCCACCCACGCACCAAGCCAGCAAGTTTCCAGGTCTGCTGTCCTCCCCACAGCAGAGAGGAAGCCGTGGCCCAGGGCAAGGCGTCCGACCAGCCACCTCCAAACCAGCCCCACCCAAGAGGCCCAGAGCCCCCCGTTCGCACGCATGCCTGCGCCAGCTCCCGACCCTCCTGCTCCAGGTCCTTCAGAGAAGCCCAGACGCCCCCTTGGCCCCCTGGCCTTCACGCTGGAGCAGGCGAGGCCCATGGGGTCGGCCACCTAACCTAAGGGGGAATCCTGGGGAGTCCCATGCTTCGGGCTCTGGGAGCTGAGACCCCAGGCCTGCCGGGTCAGCCCCAGGCTATGCCAGCTTCCAGGGCTGGGCAGCCTCCAACGCTGCCCTGGTCACTGTCTCCTGGGCCTGGCACACCCACGCCCAATGGGAACCATTGGACCTGCTTTTCTGGGTGGGCCTGCCCTGGGCTCCTGGGGGTCGGGGAGAGAGAGGCCTCCAGAAGCTGCCTCAGAGTCCGGGCTCCCAGCACAAGACCCCAGCATGAGGCAGGCCCTGGAGCCAATTTCCTGGGTGGACACGGGGAGGCCCAGAACAGGCCTGTGAGCAGTGCACGCCGGCCCTCCAGAACCGCCATTGTCCACCAGCCCCCGGACCACCAGGCCTGGGGAGGGTGAGGCTGCCAACTGCACGTGTCCACCCAGTCCTCCAGGATCGATGACCAGCGCTGCCCACCACCCGACGTGCTGCCCCGGGGCCCCACCATGCCTGACGAGGACTTCTTCAGCCTCATCCAGAGGGTGCAGGCCAAGCGCATGGACGAGCAGCGGGTGGACCTCGCGGGGGGCCTGGAGCAGGCGGCAGGTGACCTGCCCGAGCCCCAGCAGCAGTGCCAGCCCGGTACCAGCTAAGGCCCTGTGCCCACCGCCAGGCCCACCCTGTCCCCACTTCCGGATGCTGGGCTCACAGTCACAGCCATGACCTCCAGAGGCCATCGCCGAGGACAGGCACTGGGCATGCAGCCCCATGGCCTCCCTGACCCAGGGTGGCAGGCTCAGGCCAAGCTGCCCATGGAGGGAGGGCATGCTTCCATCTTGGGCTGGGACCCCATGGCTCTTGGCTTCCTCCCCTGCCCCCGCCACACGCCAAACAGGGCCTTTGGCATATCAGCCCCAACCCGGTGCTGTGCAGACTCCCCACCCTCTTCCCCAAGCCCTTCCCACTCTGCCCTGCCCTGCCAAACGTGAAGCCCTGGTGTCTCCCCCACCCTCCCCAAAGGTGTCTCTGAGCCTCTTCAGGGTCACCGTGTTCTGTCCCCCCAAAGCTGACCCTTGGACGGCCCTACGGCAGGCATGCTCCTCCCCTCTGGCTTTGTCCCCAGGCAGGGCTCCCTCCAAGCCTGTCTCCCCACTCCTGCCCCAGCTGGAGGAGGAAGAGGTCAGAGACCACAGAAGGCCCCCCCAGACCAGTCATGGCAGACCAGGCTGCAGCAGCAGCCCTGAGGGTCTCCCCACCCAAGTCCCAGTACCCTGCCAGGGCCTTGACGGGGGTTGGGCCTGTCTCTAGAGCAGAGGAAACAGCCGGCCATGAACAGTGGCCTTCCAAAACCCCCAGCTAGGAAGAAGGGCAGGGTTTGACCCTAGGGATGCTAGCTGGCAACGGGAACAGTGCCCAGTGAGGGTGGGAGGCAGCACCAGGCTCTGTAACTCTCACCCGAGTGGGGGGTCAATGGAAGCTGGGGAGGCTTCACTCAGCTCAACCCTACAGAACCCCAGATGAGAACCCCCTCCTCCCACCAGCTGGGGGAGATGACATCACTGCTGTCTCCCCATGGGGAGGGGCCCACAGGTCACCAAGCTTGAGACCCTGCGACCTGAAGGAACTGCCAGAGCCTGAGATGGGCCTGAGGTCGCCTGATCCTGTCCATGCCCAGCCTTGGCACCTCCCAAGAGTGCCTCAGGCCCTACCATGGCCCCACACCCCCCAGGGCTGGCAGTTCCATCCAGGAGGGTGCCTCCAGGCCCCGCTCTCAGGCCGGTGTGGAGAGGAGTCCTGGGACTGACGAGGTGACCCACTTCTGGAGGGGCAGGGCCACACCCGAGGGCAGGGACAGATGCCCAAACACAGGGTCTCCCGGATATGGCACTTGCATACTTGAATGTACATGCATATTTATTGCTCACATGTCTGTGCCACGTTGTCAATGGGTCCTTTCCAACCCAAAAGGTACATTTGTTTTTCTGTTTTTTCCTGAAAAATAAAGTTGGCCAAGTGAGTGTGGCCCATGTGGGCTTAGTGCCAGGGTGGCCTGGCCCAGGTAAAGAGGCTGCACTGAGCACAGTGTCCACAGACACCACTGTCTGGGCTCCGGAGACCTCAGAGAGATGGAGCTCCCAAATTAGCCAGGCGTGGTGGTCCCAGCTACTCGGGAGGCTGGGGCAGGAGAACTGCTTGAACCCGGGAGGTGGAGGTTGTCAGGAGCCGAGATCACACCACTGCACTCCAGCCTGGAGACAGACACCATCTCAAAAAAAAAAAAAAAAAAAAATGGAGTTCCCACTGCATTTAACCCATGGGGCAGCTGGGGCGCAGAGGGGTGAAGTGGCTGTTAGCTGTCACCACTGACCCCTGCACCTGCCTCCTCACGCCCCCGGCCCCTAGGGAGACAGAACATGCTCTGAGCTGCTGGGGGTGGCCTTCCAGCAGCCCTCCCCTCTCCCCCTCCCCCGTTAGCCCCACTGCTGCCACCCACCTGCAATTAGGGGAGGGAGGTCCTTCCCTAGAGTCTGACCTGACCTGGTTGGGCTCAGGGTCTGGGCTCTGAGGTGCAATGGAGGAGCTGGAGGCAGATGGGCAGTCTCAGGGCTTGTCTGGGCGATGCCTGTGGCAGGCAGCACCCCCACGGGGCCCCATCAGGGGACACACAGCCGAGCTGAGCAATCGGGCTCCCACTCGACTCAGCCCATGTGGCCAGGTTGGCAGCCACAGCCCGTGTGTGCTGGTTGACTCCATTGCCACCTCACCCCTGAAGGGGCTTTGGGAACCAGAATGGACAAGTACTCCAGGTCTGGAGTCCCAGCCAGCTGTGGGCAGTGGCCCAGGCACACAGGGTCCATGTAACCTCGCAGGGCCTGGGACCACTCACAGCCAGGGAGGTGTGGCCATGCCCCCACGCTGCTGGCTGGCTGGCACCTGGGACAGCCTCTGAAGGTGCGGCTGGGGAGCCTTCTTGGAGAGGCATGCCGTAGCAACAGATGCCTGGGCCAGCAGCCGTCCCTGGTAGGCAGGGATGTCCCAGAGGGTTGGCGGGTGCAGATAGGGGAGATTAGGATGGCAAACCCCCTGGCAGAAACCTGGCTATGGGAGTGGGGCTCGGGGAGGGAAGGGCAGAGGGACATGGCGGGCTCCAGGGTACCTCAGGCAGGAGCTGGTGGGACACATCTGGCTCAGGGGTGGAATAGAACTTTACTCCCTAGGAATGTGCCAGCCTTGGAAGGGGTGTCCTTCCAGGGCCAGCCTGGGCCCAGAGGTGCCGGCATCAGACACAAAAAGACATGGTAACGTCTACCTCCCAACTCCCGGCCTCCATCTCCCATCTGTAAGAGGACGATTGGCCTGAGCAGCTCTCCTCCGTCCAGTTCTGCACTTCCAGGTCTGAACAGCTCCCTGGACCTCCAGACATGCTGGTCCAGGCCCTCTGGAGGCAGTGAGGCAGCCAGGCCAAGCCCAGCCCTACTGGCCCCTGCACTTCCAGTGCCTCTATGGAGGAGCAGGCCAGGGAGCGGGGGCTCAGCCCGGAGGAAGATAGTTTCCACATATGGCACAGAGGCTCCAGGAGGGAGTAACAGAGGGTTGTTGGCTGACAGGACAGGTGATCGAGGCAAATCCCATGCTACAAGCTCACTGGGGACAATGTGGCCGCGCCCTGGCCTCCCACGGCTGGCTGTGAGCTGGCAATCCCAGCCAGGTCCCACTGGGAGGGGCCGCACTGGGTCCCTGTCGCGCTGTCCTCCTCCACCTCCCACGGCACCCCATCCCGTCTCTTCCCTGCCATAGTGTGGTGGGTGATTAATGCTGAAGGTCACAAAGCATGGAACATTTCTGCAAATAAACAGGCCCCTGCGTTTGCTCACTCGTTTTCATAAACACAGAGACATCTGCAGGCAGTCAAACAAGGCTGGAGACAAACCCCACAAGCCTCAGAGGCCCTGGGGGCACACTGCCCACCAAGGGAGGGAGGCCCAGCTGGCTCCCCTGGAGGGGCCTGGAGCTCCTGACCCTCGGCCATCACAGCTGCTAGTCCTGTGTGGGCTAGGGCTCAGGTCTGCACTGGCTCACAGAAGTATGGATTAGCAGCACTGTCCAAGGGGATGGCGAGGGGCTTGCAGGGGAAGGCTGAGGCTCACAGGGGTGGTGACCTGCCCAAAGCCACGCAGCAACAGCCAGGAGGGGGTCTGACTCTGCATCCAGCCCCCTCTCCACACACCCATGGCCCTTGTGGGCCCATGCAAGGTGGCTCCGAGTAGGAGAAACCAGGGTGAGGCCCAGGGTCCTGCGGCTCCAATGTCCCACCCAGCAGCACCAGGGATTCAGAGCAGTCCTTCTAACTCCAGAAAAAGAAACGCCACCGGGGCCTCAGGCCCCAGCACCCGGAAGGGATGTTTGTTTATTGATAGAAAACAGGCCAAGTCCGGAGAGGCCCAGGACCAAAATATCCTTCTGGAAGGCAGAAGTTCCACACTACCCGGGAGCGAAGGGGTCAGCTCGGCTCCGTCTTGCCAGGGCGGGTGGGATCCTCGTCCTCACCCGATTCTGGAGCAGCAGTGGATGTGGAGGCCCCTGCAGCCTCCAGAACCAGTTCCAGGGCTCCCTCGCCAGCCACACGGTGCACCTGCTCACCTCTGGCCGCCAGGATCTCTTCAATATTTCTGAGAGGCAGGGAGGCAATGTGGCTCTTCAGGTCCCCCTACCCCTACCCTGCACTTCAGTCCCCTCAGGGCACCCCATGGCCAGGCTGGAGCTGTGAGCGCCATGCCCAGCACTCCTGTGGCATCAGGCCACAGGGGCACTTCAGACGCTGGCCTGTGCACCCCCTCCAGCCCTGTGTCTCAGCTGGTAAGCGCTGCCTCAGGAAACCAGTCCCACCTTCTATGTGCCAGAGGGAAGTCTACATAGCCCTGGGTCTGATGGGAGGACAGCCCCAGCCCCAAGGGCCAGGCACCACCAAGCACCTGGCATGCTGGTCTCAGACCTGCTGCTGCTGTTACTGTCCTGTCCTCAGATGGGAACGTGGAGCTCAGAGGGCAAAGGGTACTGCCTAAGACCTCCCAGCCAGGTGGTGGCCAGGCAAGACCCGGACCAGGCTCCCTACACCACCTCCACTGCTCTCCCAGCAGCCAGGGCCCACACCCCAAGCCTCGCTATGGCCCAGCCATCCCAAGATGGCAGAGGGCAAGAAAGTACCACACCAGAGAGGGACAAGGCTGGCAGTGAGGGCAGAGGGTAGGCAAAGAGGCAGGGCCATGAGGCAAGATTTAGCATCTAAAATGTACCCCCTACATGGGGCAGACTTACACTAAAAAGCTGTCTGGGGTTTATCGGAAATTCTCATTTAACTGTGTGTCTTGTATTGACAAGGTGGCTGGATTGCCAAGGTGGGATCTATAAACCTCCACACTAGGGGAACTTTCCCCGAGGGAGGCCAGGGTCCTTCTGGGTGGGCTCCTGGCCCAGCCCTAGGGTACAGGCCTCACCTCTTTCCATTCAGGTCCGAGAACCAGCCAAGGTTGTCTGCGATTATGTGGTGGTTCTGGCAGCCTGGACAGGTCACAATGACCACGCCTTGGTGATAGGCCAGCTTGGAGATGCGCTTCGAGGACCTAGTCCCACAGATCTGGCTGGGACAGGACAGCTGGTGAGGCTGTGAGCACCGCCACGCCCCTCCCAGGAAGACCCACCCCTCGAGGGGTAACTCCACCCACCTCACCTTCTCCGGGGGAGGCCCCTCCCCTGAGATAGCTCCACCCACCCCACACTCTCTCGGGAAGACCCGCCCATCGAGGGATAGCTCCACCCACCTCAAAATCTCTGAGGCCCCGCCTCTGAGGAATAGCTCCACCCACTCCACACGCTCTCTCGGGAAGACCTGCCCCTCGAGGGGTAGCTCCACCCGCCTCACCCATTCCGGGGAAGGCCCCGCCCCTGAGAGATAGCTCCACCCATCCCACACCCTCTCTCCGGAAGACCTGCCCCTCGAGGGATAGCTCCACCCACCTCACGCTCTCCAGGGAAGGCCCCTCTCCCTAGTGATAGCTCCACCCACCCCAGCCTCACCATCTCCTGGGAAGGCCCCGCACCAGGGATAGCTTCAACCCTTCTCGTGGTCCGACCCCGCTCCCTCCCAGAAGGCCTCACACCCACCAGACCCCAAGGGATGGCTCCACCCCTTCTTGTGACTTGACCCCACCCCCCCGGAAGACCTCCCCGCACCGGGCTGCTTCTCCCCGCAGGCCGTCTAGGGCCAGGTGTGAGTCTGGCCCCGGCTCCGTCCCGCCGTGTGCCCACCTTGCAAGTGTAGACGAGCTGGTAGTGCGCCACCTCCACGCGTCCCAGCACCGCCTCGGGCCCCGGCCCAGGCTCGGAGCTTGAGCGCCGCCAGCCCCAGGTCAAGGCCCGCCGCCTTCTTGCGACCTCCGTGCGGGCCCCGCGGCCCCACAGCAGCCTCAGGCAGGACTCCCGGGGCTGCACGCGGTACAGCAGCCTCGGCGTGCTGCCCAGCGCCGCCCGCAGCATCCCGCCCGCGGACTCAGCCCGCCCCGCCCCCCCGCCATCTTGGAAGCGGGCACCGGGCGGAAGCGGCCTATCTGGGCCTCCGGGCTGGGGCGCGCTGCGATCTGCCGCCCCCTGGCAGCTTGGTGGGGGCTCTGCGCCCACGTGCTGCCCGCACCCCAGGACATCGCGGGTCCGCAGCGAGGAGGGACGGTCGTAGGGCTGCTCCCGAGCGTGGGAGCGGGAATTCGGGTCACCCGTGTTATTTATTTACGTAGCCGCGTTTTCTAACACTTATACAATGCATGCATGTATCGTGTGTTACATAGTGAAATAGAACAGACCCTGACATTACGCAAATGCGTCTGCACGGGGTGGCGAGCACCCGCGTGGGCTCCGCAAGCTGAAGGTCGCTTAACAGAACACCCCAACGTTCGGGGGCCGGGCTGGGGCTTTCAGGGCACCAGACTCCTGGTTCCAAGCCCAGGGCGTCGGCACCCGTGGGTGGCAGGGCCGGTAGGCGTGCCCTGGGCCGGGCCCGTGCTGCTGTGGCTAGGAGCCCTCGGTGTCGGTGTTGTCGCTGCCCGTGGTGTTCTCCCGGTCCGCCTCCCCCTGCCGCCAGCCGTTCTGCATCTTCCTGAGGGCACGCTTCCTGCGAAGACACAGGGGTCTCAGGCGCAAACCCGGCTACCCCTCCCCAGTCCACTTTGGAGGAGGTTGGGGGCCACCTGCCTACCTGCGGTAGTTCTCAAAACTCTCCTTGAGGCGCCGCCGCTCCTTCTCTGGGGGCTCCCCGCTGCTCAGGCCTGCGTCCTGGAGAAGGGGAAGGCTCTTGCCGGCACCCCGAAGGACCCCACCCTTGTCACGCACCCCCCACTGGCCCCTGAAACTGAAGACTGGTGGGGAAGCAGGGAGCCCAGACAGCCTCAGCCCAGCTCAGGGCCAAGTCTGCCCCGGGGGACCTGCCTGTACCCCAGGAGGGGAGCCAGTGTGGGCATTCTGCCTTTCAGATGCCAGGACACACCCAGGAGGCCAAGCCACAGCTCCAGCCTGGGCTCCAGGCCTTCGTTTCTACAACAAAGCCTGAGGCAGCCCTTGCTGTCAGGGCTCCTGTGCCAGTTTACTCAGGATTGATGCTGCATCTGCTGTAAAGGCCCCCAAGAAACCAGGACCCGGTGCATCCACCTCCAAGCCTCCACTAGCTGCTGCAGTGCCCGAGAAAGGAGGGTGGTCCCCTTCACATCCCAGACACTGCACCCCAAGCACTGAGGACAGAGACCTTGTGGTCGGTCACCCCTCAGCCTTTGGGACCACTGCAGGGGGTGCCCAGGGTGAGGAGCCACCCTCCCTGTGATCAGTCACCCTGAGGCCCCCAGCTGGGGGAGCCCATCCTGAGACAGCCTTACATGGGGAATCAGTGAAAGCTGCTCCTGGTGCAGAGTTGCAAAGGGCTGCTCCCGGCTCCCACCGCCGGCCAGGCCGCCTGGAAAGGAGAGTCATTCCTGCGGGGTCTGCCCACCCCACCTGCAGGGCCACGCACAGCCAGGCTGCCACACCCCTCCTCGGCATTGCTGACACCCTGTGGGGCTGTCTTCCAAGGCCTGGTGGGACCCCCACGTGGGTCCAGTGGAGACTGCATTCTGTAGGTTGCCTGTTCATTGCCCCAGGAGGCCGCTGGACAGCAACCCAGGCCCAGCACTCCCACCAGTGACTGCCTCTCCCTCCCCACCCCAGGGGACACTTGTCCTGCCAACTGGGGCCCCAGGTTCCACCTGGTCTCTGTGGTCTGTTCTCTGGGTGACCTTGGCCATTTTACTTATCCCCCAGCCCCAGCTTCCAGATCTGTGGAGTGTGGGTGGTGGAAACAGAGACAGGCACATGTCATGGGCTGCCTGTGCTGAAGATGGGCCTTGCTCAGGGCAGCCTAGAGGCCTCTGGGTGCACAGCTGCCACCTCCTACCTTTGTCGGAGAGCTGGCTGCCCCCCAGGCAGGAAGGCCTCGCAGACCTCAGGGGAGCTTAAGCCTGGGTGGGGCCTGAGCTGCACTGCCCCCCATCACTCCAAAGCATTTGTGGGCATGTCAGCCCTGGGGAGAGGGTTGGGGATGCCACGTTGGCTGTCCTGGCCCTCCCGAGGGGGGGCTGGGGTACTGCGGCAATTGGGAGAAAACCTTCAGGTGGCTGGACCCCTCAAAACCTGCCAGAACCTGGGCAGACCAGGGATCAGGATCCTTGGGCAGAAACCACGTACGTCCAGTCTCAGCTATGCCCCAGGGAGGGCCAGACCTGGGCCATCCTGGTGGCTGGCAGCCCCTCCTTAGAGCCAGTATCCTCCCCTGCTCACCCTCTGACCTTCACACCTGCCCCCTGGGGCTTCTGCCACAGCCACCCCAGGGGATGGAAGTAGTGCCTGAGCTGGACTCCTGGGTCCTGCTCGCCTCTGCCCACGTGGGGGCTCAGCATCCCCACGTTCAACTGTTCTGGGCTGCGGCCAAAGGTGCTGGTCTTCACTTCTCCATCTGCAACTCCATCTTCCCTTTCCGCCTCAGCTCGAAGGCCACAGCCTGGTGCTCAAGAAGCTTGTCCGACTCCCATGCAGCCTCCCAGGGCCCCTCCCCCGGGCCCTCCCCGACCCCTGCCTGATACCACATTCAGAGCAAACACCTACCCCATAACCACGGCCCACTCTGGGCACTCAGGCTGCTCCCAGCTAGCAACCCCAGTCCTTCTCCAGACAGGCAGAGGGGTCCTGCCCCACCGCTAGAAGCCCCCGACACTGCCCCGCCCCATGGCCCCGGGACACAGCAGGCCCTTGGCCACCCCTTCATTGGGCCCTGTCCCTCAAGCCCCAGGGAGTCCCGTCTCACCCTACTTTCTTTCTCACCCCTAGCCTCGTGCACCTGGGCATTTGCTCATTGCCACCTCTCTCTGCCCAAGAGGAAGCTTGGAGCAGGCAGGACTCTGCACCGTGGGGGCTGCCCTAAGGGGCACCACACTCCCCACCACAGGGAACACTTGTCCCACCAACCAGGGCCCTGGGTTCCAACTGGACTCTGGTCTGTTCTCTGGGTGCCATGTCCATTTTACTTATCCCCCAGCCCCAGCTTCCCCATCTGTGGAGTGAGGGTGGTAGAGGCCGAGACAGGCGTGTGTCACGCACGGCTGCCTGCACTGAAGATGGGCCTCGCTTGGGGCAGCTGGGAGGCCTCCGGGTGCACAGCCATCACCTCCTCACCTTTGTCTGAGAGCTGGGTGTCCTCCTCCAGGTCCTGGGGGAGCGAGAGCTTCGGAAGAGAAGCGAGATGTCCTGTTAGGCCCCTCTGCCAGGGACTGGACCTGGCCACACTGCCCACCCCAGCTCTTGGCCATCGCTGTCACCCCCTGCACAGAGCTTCTCAGCGACTCAGGCACCCAGCCAGGAAGGTCCTGCCATGAGGGTGCCAGGAGGTGGGCACTGTCCTTACCCTTTGAGCTGTCGGAGGCCTTAGTGTGTGGCTGCTTGCTCTTCCTCCACCCAGCCTGGCCACCAAGGAGGACCATGTGACGGGAAGTGTGGGGTTATGCCTGGTGGCAGCTCAGGTGAAGGAGGGGCAGCCCTATGCTGGCTGGGGTCTCACTCACCTCCTGGGAGCTCCTAGGTGAGCCATCCTCCAGGTCGGAGCTCTGCGGTCATAGAAAATGGGGTGAGTAGGCAGGCTGTGAGGGCCTAGGGCTCCCCAGACATGGAGTGGACAGGGAACAAGAGTGGGATCCTCCGGGGGGCCCTGGGCATGCCCTCAGCCACAACAACCCCCTCCATGAACAGAACCACCTGCTAGGCTACCTGATGGCCAGGCCCAGGCCCCACCCCAGCCCTGCAGCCCACTTCCTACTGGGGCCCCAATCTGCCCCTCTGCCCTCACCCCCCTTCGAGGAGGGGCTCCGTTAGGTTGGGGCCCATCACAGAGGAGGATTGGGTAAGGAAGGCCAGGGCCAGGGTATCCTGAGGCTCCATGCTCCCCGAGCCCTGTACCCCCTCAGCTCCCCTCCCTGCCCCATGCACCAGGCCCACCAGGACGAGCATCTCCAGCTGCTGCCGCCTGAGCCTGCCCTCCACGGCCAGGAGCTGCGCCTCACGCTGGAACAGCTGCAGCTGCAGCTCATCAGCCTTCTCGCCCAGCTCCCGCACGTGCTTGCGCAGCACGTCCTTCTCCTGAAGGCCCCGGGCGTGCAGGGTGTGCAGCTCCTCCCGTGTGGCGATGGCCTGACAGGACAGTGCAAGACCAACCCTCAGTGAGGCCCCAAGCTCACCCTGGGTCCTTAGCCTGACCACCCAACTCCCAGCACAGGCCCCGAGGACATCCAGCCGCTGGCTGCAGTGGCCAGCCCCAGTCCCTCCCTTTTTGTGCTCTGCGGACATGAAGCCAGCATTTGAGGGATTGTAAAGGTGACACTTAAAACAATATAAGGAAGGCTCACCCTCAGAATAGGCCCTGCAGCCCTCCTCTGTCTCCTCCCATGCCTGCACCCCCGGTGGACACAGCGTGTGCTATGCACCCCTACACATGCACACGGGATGAATTTTGGATGCAGCTTGATATGGAGAACCTGACCCTCCATAGCTAAAACTCCTTCATGAACGCAGCATGCTTTACCATCCCTGTCCCTGCCGCAGACGCTGAGGCACAGGAGCAAACATGCAGACAGAAGACGGCCTGACCACCCACGCAGCAGAGGCTGAGAGGGCCTCACCTAACGCCTGCCCACTCAGCTTCCCTAATCCCTGCCCACTCCCCCTCCCTGCACAGCCCCAAGGGAGGTCCTGTCTCGGGAGCAGCCCCAACCCCCACGCAGCACAGCTGAACCTGCCCTTTCTTCTCCAACTTGGGGTGGGCTAGGTGTGAGTGAGGCTGTGGTGGGGCCCCTACAGGAGCTCCAAGCCTGAGCTTCTCTCTCGGGGGCAGGGGCTTCCTTTATGGCCCCAGGGGTCTCGTTTTAAGGCTCCTGATTCAGGCAAACCACAGTCCAGCATTCGCTGAAGCAGCAATGGTGTCCATCAGAAACAACCTCAGAATGGGACTTGGGACGGGACCTGGGAAGCAGACACAGCCCTGTCCTTGCTGCCGCCTCAGCCTCTCAAATATCTGGGGCCACAGGCGTGGGCCACCATGTCAAATTTTTTTTTTTTTTTAGATGGAGCCTCACTCTGTCACCCAGGCTGGAGTGCAGTGGCACGATCTCAGCTCACTGCAACCACCGCCTCCTGGATTCAAGTGATTCTCCTGCCTCAGTCTTTTGAGTAGCTGGGATTACAGGTGCCCACCAATATGCCTGGCTAATTTTTGTATTTTTAGTAGAGAAAGCGTTTCACCATGCTGGCCAGGCTGGTCTCAAACTCCTGACCTCAAGTGATCTACCCACCTCGCCCTTCCAGACTGTTGGGATTACAGGGTTGAGCCACCCCATCCAGCCAAGATTGTTTTTCAAGATTAAAAAAAGCTACTGGTAAGACAAATTAAAAGTAAAAAAAAAAAAAAAAAAAGCTACTGGTAAAACAAGACAGAAGGCTTCCATTTTCATAAAACAAAAGCAAAAAAAAAAAAAAAAAAGGTTCTTTCCTATGATCCATGTTAAAGGGGAAAAAAAGAAAGAAAGAGGGAGGAAGGGAGGAAGGGAAGAAAGCAAAAAAGAGGCCGGGCGTGGTGGCTCAAGCCTGTAATCCCAGCACTTTGGGAGGCTGAGACGGGTGGATCACGAGGTCAAGAGATCGAGACCATCCTGGTTAACATGGTGAAACCCCGTCTCTACTAAAAATACAAAAATTAGCTGGGCATGGTGTGGCGTGCCTGTAATCCCAGCTACTCAGGAGGCTGAGGCAGGAGAATTGCCTGAACCCAGAAGGCAGAGGTTGCGGCGAGCCAAGATTGCGCCATTGCACTCCAGCCTGGGTGACAAGAGCGAAACTCTGGCTCAAAAAAGAAAAAAAAAAAGAAAGCAGAAAAGAAAAAAGAAAGAGAAAGGAAGGAAGAAGATGGCAGGGAGGGGAAGGGGGGGAGGGGAGGGGAATATCTGTTAAGATGGAGCGGGATGGTAGAAGTTTCCCCTGACAGCAGGCTGGGATGAGGGAGTATTGACTTCATCAGTTTACTTTTTTTTTAGTGTTAGATATTCCTTCTGTTACTTAAAAAACAGGTCAGTGTGTTGGCTTAACCTGCAATCCCAGCGCTTTGGGAAGCTGAGGCCAGAGGATTTGCTTGAGGCCAGTAGTTTGAGGCCAGCCTGGGTGACATAGCGAGACCCCATCTCAAAAATAACAAAATAAAGATTAAAAACCCTCTGACAACTGCCCTCAAGGCCTGTGGCCCTGGTGCACCCACCTCGAATGGGGCACTCTGTTCCCCAGCCCCCACCGTGAGCACCCACCTGGTCCCGCTCGACAGCGACCTCCTCCATCTGCAACAGGATGGCCTCGATGCGGTCCTTGTACACCTTGCAGTCCTTGCGCAGGGCCCGACACTGCAGCTCCAACATCTCCTTCTCCTCCACGAACTGCAGGGGGTAGCAGCTCAGCCCCCAAGGCCTGAGGCTCCCCATTCTGACCAGTTGGGGGGTGCTCCAGCTAGGAGCTCAGGAACATGGGTCAGGTCAGTCGGGATGTTGGGGGAGGCCATAGGAGCCCCCAGGCCCCTATTACCCCGCCCTTCCAGACCACAGCAGCGCAGGGCTCTCCCCAGGCCTCAGGCACTGCCGTGCCCAGCTACAAGGAGCCCATGGCCTTTGCCATGGGGTGCAGGTGAGCAAGGAGTGATCACCATCCACTGTGCCTCCAGGAGTGGGTGAGTGGAGATGCTGCACTGGGGTCCCCGCACCCCACCTTCCAGACAGAGTGGGCGGAGCTCAGCCCACCTAGCCTAGCATGGCCCCCAGGGGCCACATGTCCTCGCCTGCGCTCGTACCCGGGCGTGACGGGCCTCGCCCTGGCGGAGGTCCTTGCGCAGGGAGAAGATGGTGCTGGCCTGCTCCTGGTGGTCCCGCAGCGCCTGCCTCCAGTCCTCTTCCAGCACCTGGATGTAGGGGCTGCTCCTGTCCAGCTTTCCCTCCTGAAGGGGGCAAAAAGCAATGGCCCAGCTGGGAAGGCCCATGCCACCCTGCCAGGCTGCACCCGCCCCACCTGTGCCCGCCCTGCCCGCAGCCACACCTGAACCGAGGCCTCCAGCTCCTGCACCCGGGCCTGCAGCAGGGCCTTCTCCTGCTGTAGCTCCCACAGCAGCTCCTGGCTGGGCCGCTGCTCCATGGCGTGCCTGAGCTTCAGTGTGTGCTTGCGTTCCACCTTGCAATCGTCCTCGGCCTTCATGAGGCTGTGCTTGAGCCGGTCGATCTGCAGAAGGCCGGGTGAGCCCAGCCATCCACTCCAGGTGCTGACAGCCGACCCACGGGGCTGCCCCCGACCCGCAGACCCCACCAGGCCAGGCGAGGGGGGCCACCCTGGTTCCCTGGGGCAGCAGGCGCACCTCCAGCTGCAGGTCGCGGTTCCGCATGAGCGCAGCGCCCTTCTCCTCGCTCTGGCGCGCCAGGCGCATGGCCAGGTCATAGTTCTCCTCCTTGCAGCGCTTGAGCTCACGGCTGCCGGCCTCGCACTCCTCCTTGAGCCTCTGCACACGCTCCTGGTGCTTGCGTAGCAGGCTGTCCTTCACCCGCAGCTCCTTGATGAAGTCGTCCTTGGAGCTCAGCAGCGCAGTCAGGTCCTGCACCTTCTTCTGCAGCTTCATGACCTCAGTCATCAGCAGCTGTGTCAGGCCTGACTCCCCGGACGCATCTGTGGACCGGGCCAGTGTCAGACAGGGCCCTTGTTCCCTGGCAGTCCAGCTCCATCACGCCTCGCGCTGTGGCAGGAGCTCAGGGCTCCTAAGCATGTGGGCCTGTCGGTTGACCGAGCACCACTGCCCAGCCCCGCCTTCCCTGCTGGCCCTGCCTTCCCCGTCACTCACCGATGATCATGGAGAAAACTCGGGCTGGCTCCTTGCCCGTGACCTTCTTGTACAGTTGCGGGTAGTAGAGCTCTAAGCTCTCGAGGAAGGCCACATAGCCCTTGTGGCCTGTCCGCTGCAGGATATCCAGGAGAACACCTGCAGGCCAGAGAGGCCGAAAAAGGGGCGGGGTGCTGGCGGGGCAGAGGGCTGGGATGGGTGGGCCCGGGGGCGGGGAGAGGTGGAGGCTGGGACGCAGAGGAGGTGTGCTGCTGTCTGGATCGTGGAAGAGGCACCCTGAGGGTCTAGGTGCTAGGCTGGGGGCAGTGCTGCCCACCCACCCCTTGGCTGTCTCAGGAGTCCCTGCTGTGGTGGGAGCCCCATGACCCCTCTTGGCAGCACCGAGCCAGCAAGAGAGGGCTGGGGGGTGGGGCGGCCACATGTCAGGGTTGAGTTTGGGCCTCACTGGGTGGCCAGGGGCAAAGCTGGGTGGGGTTCCTCTGGAGTTGAGGGTCAGGGTCGCAGAGCCTGCAGCCACCTCCGAGCTGGCTCCTTGGTTGGGTTTGGGGCCAGGAGCCTGTGGGACAGCACTGACCTACTTTCCGTTTGCGGATGACCAGGTTGGGGTCACTGAGCACCTGTTCCTCATCATCGGGATTCAGGACCTTGCACTGCCGCAGGTAGGGTGTGATGCGTGAGGGGTCGATGACCGAGGTGAGCGTCACCCGGAAGCCCTCCAGGGCACTCCAGCACTCATCATCGTTCTCGTAGTCCGACATGGCCCCAGCAGGCAGGCTGAGGAGAGTTGGGGCAGCCACTGAGCGTGACACGGCCTCCTGCCCCCACCCAGGCCCTGCTCCCACTCCCTTCTCAGATGCTGGGCCAGGGCTCTTGTCAGGGCTGTCAAGGGGATCAGCCCAGGGGCGTCTAGGAGAGGTGCCCATTCCCACAGCCAGATCCCCCAGGGAGGCAGCAGAGACACAGTGACACCTTCCCCTTCAGGTCCCTCCACAGCCTTTCCTAGCCCCTGCTGCTGCCCCTTGGCCATCCTGTCACCCAGATATGCACCCAGGGAGGCACAGATGGGTCCGAGAGAGGAACCCCCGCTTCAGCATGACCCCCACTCTGGCCTCTGCATCCTGGACACTCCCAATTCACCTTGGAGCCCTGGAGCCTGCAAGGACAGCCACCTCCATGGGTGGAGTGGTGTGAGCACCTGCCTGGCACTCTGGCCAGGCCAAGCTGGGTGAGAGCAGGTTGGCCTGTGACCCTCCCACCAGCACAGCAGCTGGGGGAGCTGGTCCTTCTGGGACTTCCTCATTCCCCTGACCGACACCCGCTCACATCCCGGGCTGTGCCCTCCCTCCTCCATGGCCGGCTGCTGATGATGCAAGAGTTGCCGCCCAGCCCTGCCACAGCTGCCAGGGTCACTGTACCAGCCAGGTAGAGCTGCCCACAGGAGTGTGTCTCTGTCACCCCCCCACTCCCTGGCCCCACAACCCTGGGAGGGGCTGTCAGTGTTGCCCTGGCCAGCCAGGAGTGCTGCTGTGGCATTTTCTCCAGGTTCCTAGGTGCTGGGCACCAGTGAATTCCTGGACTCTTCTGCCCCCCAGCCACCCCCTCCAGGACCATCTCGCTCACTGCAACAAAAGAACTACCCATGTTGGGACCAGCCACTGCTGTCCCTTTCTGCCAGCATGGTAGAAGCCTCCGCCACTGAAAGCCACTCCCTCCGGGACTGTGACTGGGCCAAGGCGGGGAGCACCCACATGGTCCTGCCTCCCACGCAAGACCCTGCTCCTCAGACAGCCTCCAGCCCCGCTGGGAAAGCTGGTTTCCAGCCCAAAGGAGCTGGGTCACCTCTCCTGGAGACAGTTGCCCCAGGCTTAGTCTTGTGAGGATTTTCTCAACTTCCTGCCGTGCTTTGTCTTCCCATTCAGGCCAATTTTGACAAACAGACAAGGGACTAAATAGAAGCACCACCCACACGGCAGACAGTCCTGGGAACACTGGGCCCCTGCCTTGCCTCTCCAGCCTGAATCCAGAGTCCCACCTGCCTCGGCTGGTAATGCCACTGAAATGTACACAGTGGCCGTGAAACGGATGGGGCCGCACATGGAGGCTGCCCGGCTCCCTGTGGAAAGCCTCATGCTGCTCTGGGGCATCAGCGCCAGGATCCTGAATGAGACTGACACCAACCTTCCTGGCCACCTTTCAGAAAAGCACCAGACCTACCCACCTGAGGGTCCAGGACCCACCTGACCGAAGACAAACCAGGAGTCTGGGCTGCAGAGCCTCTGGGAGATGCTACCCGTGACTGCAGGGAAGAGGAGCACGCTGGGATGCCTGGGCACTTCCTGATGGCTTCTGGTTAACTCCACAGTCCCGCCAGTCCTCCCACAGGGGGACAGTCCCTGGTGGCTTGCCTTCTGATTCGCCCAGCCCAGGAGGCCCCAAGAGGTGGGGCAGAAGGAAGTGGAAGTCCTCTGCCCTCCAGGGAAGCTGCTCCCAGCACTCCCAGCCTGTCTGGTGGCCAGGGGTCCTGGGGCTGCCTTAGAGGCCTAGCCCTGGCGCCTGGCAAGTAAAAGAGAAAGCAGAGGCTCCTAGAGGGCCCGACAAGGTCGGCCCACACCCAGTTGCTCTGACCTGGTCACAGACTTCTGGAGGCTTCTTCAGTTGGGCATGCTGTATGCAAACACCCTCGCCCTCACCAGCATCTCGGGACAGTGGGGCAGGGCTGGGCCAGCTGATATGGCCATGCCCTCAGGGCACGTGCAGGGGAGCACACAGCCACACAGCATGACCAGAACTCACCTTGGCCACAAAAGGGCTGCAGCCCACCTAATGACCCCCAGGAGGCCACTGCAGCCTGCCCAGGGCCACGGCACCAGCCACCACCCCCGCTGCACACGGGAGAAACGTCCCTTCCAGAAGTGTCACTCGACCTTGGTATTTATGCTCATGATGAGGCATCCCTGCCTCACCAGGATGCACATGGGGACTAAGGCCACTCCCAGGGTCCCCCAAACCAGCTTAAGAAGGGCCGGTGATGACAGGGCACAGCTCCGCCCTCATCCACGACAGCAGGCAGCAGAGTCTGCCCTGAACTGTGCACTTCAGCATGTGGGCTGCCAGAGCTTCATCCCTGCAGGCTTGGGAACCCCCAGGCCCTGGCTCACCCGGTAAAGCTGGTTGAACCAAGTTGCCACCCAGCAGCTTTGAGAAGGGGCCACCAGGCTGGAAGGGCAGGAAGCTGGTGTGGCGCTCACCTAGCCCTTCCAGCCTCCAGCCCTCAGACCTCTGCAGGGACAGCACCTGACACCATGCATTGAGTGAACTCTTAGGGTCCTCCCGGGCGCTCGGGGTGGTCTGTTAGGGTCCTCCTGGGCACTCAGAGTGAACACTTAGGGTCCTCCCGGGCTCTCGGGGTAGACACTTAGGGTCATCCTGGGCTCTCGGGACCAACACTTAGGGTCCTCATGGGCTCTTGGGAAAGCCACATTACAGGGGGCTGTGCCCCTGACCAGCAGCACGAGTGTGCGGGCAGAAGTGCCATCCTGGGCCTTGCTGAGAGTGGGTGCAAGCTGGTGCCAGGCCCTCATGAGCCAGTGTTTCCCCAGCTTGTAGAACAAGGACCCTAGTATCTTCCTTGTGTTGAGTGTCTTTAGGAATTAATACATGTATCATGTTCTCTAACCATATCAGAAGTAAGCTAAAAATCAGTAACAGGTATCTGGAAAATCCGTAAGTATTTGGAAATGAAATATACCTCTAAATCACCCACAGGCCACAGGGGCCCACAGAAGATGAGGCACCAGCTACTAAAGAACCAGGCACAGTAACACATGTTCGGGAGCCAGGCTGCCCGGGTGACCAGAGCTGAGTCCCTACAATGGTTCCAGTGAAGGAGTGAAGCCCACAGGAGCACCAAGAGCCTGAGGATGTTGGCATGGAGACAAAGGAGAGGCTGCAAGGGGTCAGAAAGGGAAGATGAGGCCTGGTCTTGTGCCAAGAAAGGGCCATGCAAAAGGAACAGTGAAGGTGGGTGGGGGGATGCCGTGTTTGGGTAGCCAGGTCACCTGTTCCAGGGAACCCCCGGCTCAGCCGGAGCAGCGCAAGGCTGGCGGCCGTCTGGGGTGGGCACTGGCTCAGTCTGAAGGACAGAGCCACAGATGCTTTCCAAGAAATGGGCGAAAGCCTGCGTCTCTGCCAGGAGGGCAGCCAGGGTACAGGGGGCTCAAGGACCACAGCGCTGAGCCCCAGCACCCTGCTGTCCCCAGACTGCCTGCACTAGAGTGGCGGGGCCACCGGGCAGTGGCCTGACCCTGGCCGGGCAGAGGCTCCCTGTACACTGCCCAGTATCTCAGGACAATAAACCACAGCAGCCTGTGTCTGGCTCTACAGTCAGAAACAGAACTTTATTCCTCCCAGGGCTGAGACGTGCACTTGGGGACCAGCCACACGTTCAGTTTGCAGGGCCACCCGTTCCCCGCAGACTTGGTTGGTCAGCGGCCAGCAGCTCCGTGGCCTGTGGCTGCCTCTCGCCAGCAGGGTCATGGGTTTCTGGGGAGTATCTGTCCTGGAACACAAGAACACCCAGGTGGTGGGGTACCCCTGGGCCCAGCCAGACCCCAAGCAGTGCTGGGACAGACAGATGGGAACCAAGGCCACTGTGGCGCCAGCCACTCCCAGTCTGCTTGGTGAATCCAATCCACATGTGCCAAGGGCCAGGGCACCTGCCATCTGGGAACCAGGGCCCCAGTGTGATGGTGGAGAGAGGATGGAGGGACGCCCGGGAATGCGTGCCACCAGAGTACAGTGGCCAGGGAGGAGCCAAGACCTCAGCAAAGGCAGGGAATGAGCCTTGCAGTCAGGGGGCAGTGGTGCCAAGGCCTGAGGCACGGGCAGCTTCAATGCTTCTCTCTGCAGAGGGCCTCCATGACTCTGGACCTGCCCTCAAGGCCCGCATAGTCCCAATCCCCCCCACCTAACCCAACACACCTGCTGTGAGCACCAAAGTACAGAGCAGAAGAAAGCTGGCGTCCCCCAGCTCAGACGCCACTCTCCCCTGGGTTGCAGGGCAGTGGCCTCCCACTCGGGCTCACCTGCTGCTCACACCAGCCACCTCCGCTTCCGGGTGTGCCTGGCATGCCGGGTTCTCAGCACATCAAGGTCGTCAACATCAAGGTCATCAGAAGCACCCTGGCAAGGGGAGGCGGAGCATTTGCCAGAGTCTGGGGCTCCCTGAAACAAAATCCAGGCAATGGGGCTAAGAGTGACCCCCCAAGCCATGATGGGCAGGGAAGGGGCAGGGAGTGAGGAAAGGCCCTGTGGGCAAGTGTCCCACTTGAGATGGGGCCCCCTCAGCTTGGGCTGGAGCTGCTCCAGGCACTTCTGAGGCCACGTATGACTTACTTCCCACTGCACTCTCCCTCCCTCTGGGGCTCCAACCCCGTCTAAGCCGTCCCTGTGGCCAGCCTTCTGCTCCCCCACAGGTTGGCTATCACACATGGCTGTGGCACGGGAGCCTCTTCCCCTGGCTGGCCGGGGTCCTCAGCCTGCTCCCGGGCAGTGCTTTCTCCCTCACTTCAGCCTAGGGACTCTAGAGGCACAACCGTGGGAAGAGATGGACGGCCCCTGCCACCCTCCCCACGGCAGGCCCACAAGTCCAGCGGAGGATGCCTGCTTCTGGCAGTTTCTCAGGGAGGCCAGCCCCTTGGTGGCTGCAAGTTGACACCCTGGCGGCAAGGGAGGAAGCCTCCCAGGCCACATCTCCTCACAGTTTCTCCTCCAGGGTTCCGAATGTGGTTTTGCCTACAGAACTTGGAAAACTCTTCCCAAGTATACTCAGAGAGGTGACAGCGAGAGGGACCTTTGGGACCCTAGAAATGCAGGACGAACACAGCCCCCACCCTCTGCTGTGCCTGGGGCCTGCCCTGGAGCACACGGCGTGGCATGTGTGGCTCAGAGCCGGGTCAGCATCCGCTCCCAGATCATCTTGCTCAGACAAGATGACCTGGCTGGGCAGCACCAGCAGGAGAATGAGGCCCCTCTCCTATTATCCACACTACCCCAAAGGGCGGCAACTTCTGCAGAATCTACACGCAACTGGGCAGGCCAGGAGCCAGCTTCCTCCTCCTGAGACACCCAGCAGCCAGCCCTCCTGCCCACAACTTCCACCGACCCCCACCCCGCCGCTCTGGGCGGGCGAGGGCGCCCCAGGGACTGCCACCTGCCATGGGGAAGTGGGGCTGGGCACCCACCTTACCTGAACGGGCTGTGTGGCCACCACAGGACCCAGCTGCCTGGCCCTGTCTTCGAGCTCTAGCTCGCTCAGGTCTTCTTCCTCACTCTCCGAGCCCACCCTTGAAGCTGCTGAGAGGGTGGTGCGGATGCCATGGGGGGCCAGAGTGGCCAGGAGTGCAGGGAGGGTGAAGGCTGCCAGGAACCGTGCCCGAAGCAGGAGGTAGGCGGGGTTGTCCTGGAGCTGCCCCCGCACCAGCCCCCGTGAGGTCTGCATCGCTCCTGTTGGTTGTTCAGTTTTGACCCCAGCCGGGAGGCCCACCAGGGAGGCAGCCTTGTGCTCCAGGGCTTTCTTTTGGAGCAGGAGACTGGCCAGTGCTCGCAGGCTGCACAGGGCTGGGGGCTGGTAGGGCAGTCTGCTCACCAGGGGAGGCACATGCACCCCCCGCTGACCCCCCAGCCACTCCTGTGTGGCCGTCTCGCCCTCCTGGGACAACAGGCCCAGGTCCAGGACCCCCTTCTCAGGCCCAGGCTGTGGCAGGGGTGGTCTCTCATGGCCCAGAGGACCCCTGGGCTCCTGTGTCCCTGAGGGGGACCCTGGTGTCCCTGCTGGCTCACTTGCTGGGATGGCACCACCAAAGTCTGGCAGCCTCCTGGGCCAGGGGAGTTCTGCTTCAGGGGGGTCAGTCTGGGTGGATGTCATGGGTGCAGGTATCTCCCTGGCCACCTGGGCCTCTCCAGAGACAAAGGCCACACTGCCATCCACTTCTGCAGGACTTTGGAAGGGGGCCTGTGTGGGAGGGGCTGGTGAATCTGTCCTGCAGGAAGGCTTTGGTTCCACGTTCATATTGGCCACAGCCCTGGGGTCCTGGGCTGTCTGAGCCTCAGTCAGGGGAGGCAGCAGAGTGGCCAGCAGCCCTGTGGGGCCAGGGGTCCCTACGGGCCTGGGAAGGCCCACCACAGCTGGCACAGGAACGGGGAGAAGCCCCTGGGCTGTGAGCACCCAGGTGACAGGCAGGGGGACACTGGCCACCACACCTGGTCCTCCTACGTGCGTCAGGCTGAGGGGCTGGATGGGCGGTGGGGTGGGGCTGGGGGCTGCAGGGAGGAAGGGCGGTGCCTCAGGCAGGCCTTGCTTCCGGGATGCAGCGGGGGCCTGAGACTGTCCAAGACCGCTCCCGGGGCAGCTCACAGAGACCTGGCCGGGGCCCAGGGAAGAGGCTCTAAAAGCAGCAGGGGCTGTGCCCTCGGCCCCCGTGAAGGCAGGCGTGAGGGGCAGGGCTTGCAGGGTGGAGAGTCTCTCGTCCGTGGCTGAAGTCCCAACCTCCTGCCGGAAGCCAGAAGTGCCAGGCCTCGCTGCTGCGGGGGTCCCAGGCCCAGAGAGTGGTGCATTTAAGATGGAGGGCCCGGGAGCTGGGCGGCAGTGCGGGGCGTGTGGTAGAGGGGGCTGGAGGACCACAGGCGAGGAGACCAGCAGCTGGGACGGCAGCACCACCGGGCCCTGGGCAGCCTCCCTGGCACGGGCCTCCTGAAGCCGCTTCTCCTGAAGTAGCTCTGACACAGTCTTGGGCTTGGGCCGGGGGCCGGTTGGAGCCAGTGGGGACACCTGGGGCAGGGTGCACTCTGCCCGGCTGGATGCCTGTCTCCGGCTCCCTTTGTGGCTGGTGCTCTTTGAGGCTTCTTGAGCCAGCACGTTTGGGAAGGGGCGGCCTATGGGGAAGACAGACCACATCTGAGGAGGAGCCCCACGCATGTGGCCCAGGGACAGCCCCTCGCTGCCATCCCTCATCAGGAGGACCCATGTGTACAGCCCGAGATCTGGAGCCAAGAGGGGGTCCAGTGGCATGTCCTGGGTCTGCCAGTCACAGTTGTTACCCCAGACCCCAGTGCTCCGGCCAAAGCCAGGCTGCTGGGCACTCTGGGAAGCCCAGCCCATTTAATGTTGGCTGAGACCAGCCGGGAGCCCAGGCTTTACCCGATGCTGCTGGCTTGGAGCATGCGTGGACCCTCACTCAAGAAGACCCCTGCCTCCAGGCCCCATGTGGGGGAAGCCTCAGGGCTGCAGGGCGCTGGCCCAGCTGGACTTGAATCCCTGTGGTGGGATTCGAGGGGGCTCTGTCACCAGGGGCCAGAGGCTGTGCTGCTTGGGGGCTGTGAGTGAGAGCCAGGGCCGGTGAGCCCTCTTCCCCACCAGGGCAGAGCAGCAGAGGTGTTACCTGGGGTGCTGTGGGCACTTGAAGAGGCCTGGAGAAGGAAGAGAGGAGAGGAGTCAGCAGCTCAGGTGGCATCTGTGGGCTTGAACCACCTGTCTAAGCATCCGGACTGTCCCCTGCCACTCCCTGCAACGGGGACGAGGCCCCAAGGGTTAGTGTGGCCTCACACACGCCTCTGCAGGAACTCCGTGGCCACGGGTGTGGCCAAGCGTGTGGCACAGCAGGCAAAGGCCTAGCCTCCTGTCCCCCTGCAGCTCCTCCCAAGGGTGCCCTCAAGAGTTCTTCTGGGAGGTTGGGGGCAGGGTGGGGTCCACAGGGAGAGGCAGGGGGCTGGGAGCACAGAGGACTAGGAGGCAACCCAGTGCTGTCCCTGCTCCTCTAAGTGACAATGCTTTGTCCCCCCTATCCCCAGGTGACGGGGCTCGGGGTGAAGCCTTGGTGAACTCATGTGAGTTTAGTCCCTGGAACAGAAAGGCAAGAACCAGGCACCTGTGGCAGACAGCGCCCATGTCCATGACCTCCACCCAGTGGGGTTAGGGGGGAAAACAGGCTAGGCACATGGGCACCCCAGTGTCAGCCCCAATCTGCAACTGCCTGACTTCCCTGGGACCTCTCAGGGCTGCGTCCCCTCAGGTGAGAAGTGCAGATGCCTCCCTGGGGGTGTGGCAGAGTGGGTGGGGCAGGCATGGAGTGTTCATGGAAGCCCACTCCATGCTGGGGAGGGCAGCAGTCACCCTCACTTCTCAGCCCAAGTGCCCGTTACCTGCGGAAGATGCAGTGGTGGGTCCCGAGCACCAGCCTGGGGCAACCTGGGCGGCAGGGCCTTCCTCTCTCGGACCACCTCCAAGCAGCCGGCAGTGTCGATCTGGAATAACTAAAAAACACAGGTGGAAGGGCTCCCTGCCCATCCCTGCTCAGACTCTACGCCCGAGACTCAGGAGGCGCCTTAACTGCAGCTGCTTTCGGGGGCAGCTCCGAAGCCCCAGAGGCTGGGCAGAGCCTGGGGTAGCCCTGAGGCTGTGGACACCCAGCAAAGCCTCCCCCGTGCCTCGGCCTGCTCTCCTCCCTCTCTGCCTTCTGCTCACAGTGGGACCCCAGGTGCCCCTCTCCAGACAGCGTTTGGCTCGATGATGGCAGCGGGCTCTAGCTGGCGCCCCTGCACGTTCACTTACTGACAGTGTAAGGCATGGAAAGTGCATTTTCAAGGCCAGAAAACGAGGTAATTGGATTTTAAGGAATGAATACACGGCAGATTTCAAAACTTCACCAAAATCTTTTTACAAGGCAAAGGGAGATGAAGCTCTGTCTGAGCGGCTTACCTGAGTGAACAGGGTAAACACAGGGGTGCTGGTCAGGCGGGCCTGCTGCAGCTGCTCCCTGAGGCCATCCGCTGCGGGCACAGGGGGACAGGTGGTAAGCAGCCTCAGCTCCCATGTGGCTTTTGGGAAGGCTCCAGGAACCCTCAGGATTCGGAGCCAGGCCGGGCTGGGAGGAGAGGCCTTGGCAGCAGCACTACACAACCATGGCTGGACAAAGGGTGGGCCCTCTCAGCCCTGTCATCACACAAAAGAGTCAGCCTAGCTGCCACATGCTTGGCCCAGGAAGAGTGGTGGGGCAGGGAGGCAGGGCTGGCTCTGACTGGGTGCCCTGGAAACCTTCAAGGACAGAAAGCTCACCAGAGGTGGGGCCCACCCCACCATCTGCTAGGCTGGATGTACTCCTCATCCTTACCCCTGGCCCCTAGGAGGCTCCCAAGGAAGCCCCAGGCCATACCTCTAGTCTGCACTGTGGCAGGTCTCTGGGGAGCCTGTGTGCAGGGCAGGACAATATCCCCCACCCAGGGGGTCACAGCCAGGAGTAGCCTGCGGTCCAGGAGCCTCCGGTGCAGAGCCTGTCTCCAGCGCCGCTGTCCACTCTGGGCGGCTCTGTGCCGCAGCCACCGCACATGGGACCGGGCCACGATGTCACCAGGGCTGACCTCTGGGGATGAGCTGAGCAGGGGTGGCTGCCTCAGCTGCTCTTTCTGTAAGAAGGTGGCACCTGGAGCCCCTAGCCAGGCCTGGCCCCTGGAGTGGACCCTGCTCAGCGGCCAGTGCTGCCCTCTATCCCCGTCAGGGTGTGATCGGTGGTGGTGTGGGTGTGCATGTCCACAGTAGGCCTCACCTGTGTGCAGCTCGGAACAGCTGTGTTGGCCCTGAGCACCCTCAGCACGGTCTCCATGGGCACCGTCAGCAGACGCCTCCCACACTGATGAAAAACCTGCCTGAGGTGAGGCATGCGGGGGTCTTCCCCACACTGCCCAGACATGGTGGCCTCTTCACCCAGGCTCCAAAGTGTGGCTGTGCAGAGCCCAGCTCTGCCTCACAGAACGTTCACCATGGGAAGCACAGGGTCCCTAGGCAGAGCCTCCCCCAAGGCCTGGCTCCTGGGACAGTAACAGGGTCCCATGCCCCATTCAGCTCCTCCGGGTAAGGCCCCAGCCCAGGGAGACACTGGCTGTGCGGCAGTGGGTGCCATGCCCATGGCTCTGCTGGTAGCCTCAGTGTCCACTGTCCTCGCCAGCACCTCCCAGGACAGACCAGCCTGTTCAACTCTGATGGCTTCACAGACACCGCCAGAGCTGGGCCTGTGCCCAGGGCCTGACATGGCGAAGACCAACCAAGACAGGCAGAAACACCACGAGCCAGGCTGGGCCCAAGTCGGAGGAGAGGCCCACCCCAAGAAGGGTCTCCAGTGCGCAGGCACATGGCGGGGAAGGGGGCTCCTCCCGCTGCCGCCTCTGCCCTCCCCCACCCTGGCTTAGGGGTGAAATGTTTCAGAAATGCCTCCAGGCCCAAGTGCCCATTCAGCCATGTCCCTGAAATCCTCAACAACCTGGGAAAAATGCAGGCTTCCCCAAAAGCTCCCCACCACCCACAGTTCTCCAGAGCTCAGCCAGAAGCAGTGTGTTCTGATCACATAAACTCTGGGACCCAGCTGCTGCACGGTCCCTGAGCACCCGCCCTGGTGAGCACCAGGAGTGCACTTCCCATGGTGCACCTGGGCCTGGGCCTACCTCGGAGGCCTGCTGCTCTGCACCCGCTGGTCGAGTGTCTGCCAAGTGGGAGGCCTGGGCAGCTCTCGGGATGGGGCTGTGGGCCCTGGCAGGGGCCTGTGCTGGGCTCCTCTCCTCTCCAGGAGCCGTGGGTGTGGCAGAAGCTTCCTTGCTGCCATCTTGGCTGGCACTGGACCCCTTGAGAGGGCAGGGGGAGGCAGTGGGGCATCCCAGCCAGCCCCCTGCCCCTCTGGTGCTCTGCCTGGCAGGAACCCACAGATCCATGTCCGGGACCACGTATTGTGGGGACAGCAGCGCTCGGCCATCCTCCCCGGCCTGCGCCTGCTCCGGCTCCTCCTCGTCACTGCTGCTACTGCTGTTGCTGCTGCTGCTGCCCCCTCTGCTGCCGCCTCTGCTGCCGCCGCTGCTGCTGCTGCTAGAGCTCCAGCGGACCCTGTGATGGACCTTCCGACGCCGCCTCTGGAGACCCTGTTTCTTCTGAGGAAAGGAAGGGGCTACTTGGAGGTCTCAGCTTCCCGGGGTTTGCCGAAGACAGCAGCAAGCAGGCCAGCCCTTCGGCGAGAGGTCCAATTGGGGCGCCTCGGGAGTCAAGAGCTGCTGCCAAGTCAGGGTCTCCCTCTGCCCTTGGCCACCCAGAAGAAAAGCCAGGGCCAGAAACCAAATGCCCTCCCTTCCCTCCACCCACCTCCCTCCCTCCTCCTCCTACTGGGTCCCCCAGTGGACCAGGCCATTGTCGGTTTCAGGTAAAGAACGAGTGAGTGCCTCACCCCCATCATGATCTTCCACTTGCTCAGACACTGGGAGCCGGACCGATGGGGCAGCTCAGAAGCTATTTTTGCCCAGTGACCTACAAAGGCCAAACCCCATGGAAATGGTGTCATCCAAAGATTCGTCCCCAAGACGAACTCGCTGTTCCCCAGGAGACTCGCCATGGGCCCTGTCATCAGAATGGGGCCTCCTGAGCACCCTCACACTGCGTAAGAAGCAGGGTCAAGCATGGTGGGCGCATCTGACTCTCAGTGGATGCTCAGGCCCTTAGGAAAGTTCTGGCAAACATGTGAGAAGGGAAAATCATCCCAAGCACACATATCTGCTCGCCTCAGCCCTCCCCATGATTCACACTCTCCACGCAGCAGGACGGGGGCACAGGTGCTTCTCTCACAGGGCAGAGCCTTAGCAGCTGGTGTGTCCTGGCACATGGCAATACCACAGCTAGAATTTACTCTAAGGAGACATTACAGACATAAGCAGACTTAGCTATAAAACACTCAGCTCGTTGGGGTGGTGGCACACACTTGCAGTCCCAGCTACTTGGGAGGCTGAGGTGGGAGGATGGCTTGAGCTGCCGTGGGCTATGGTCATGCCACCCCACCCCAGCCTGGATGACAGAGTTTGCTCTGTCTTGATCTTGATCTCATTTCTAAAAAAAAAAAAAAAAAAAGTTACCAACAACTTACCAACACCGTATTTTTCTATTAATTCAATTAACTGTTCCTCTTCTTTTAAATTCCACCGCCCCTTTTTCAGACTGAAATGTAATCTCCTGAGATACCTGAAAGTGACATGGAAAGAAAAGAACCTGTTGGACACTGAAACGCCGCCCGCTGCTGCCCCAGCTTCTTTCATAGTTTCTTGGCGATGACAGTAAAAGTGCAACCGACAAAAGGAAACTATAGATAAAGCGGACTTCATCAAAGTCCAAAGCTTTGTGTCCCAGAGGACGCTGTCGAGAAAGTAGAAAGACAGCAGACAGACTAGGACAGAATGTTTGCAAATCATGTGTCTGGTAAGGAACTTGTATCTGGAACACACAGAGAATTCTTACAAGTCGATAACACCAAGACAAATAATGTTAAAAATGGGCAAAGAACTTAAACAGACATTCCTCTAAAAATTTATTTCTGTGAATAGTCACCAAGCACATGACAAGTGGTCCCACATCATTAGCCACGGGGAGGCGCATGTGAAAACCACAGTGAGACGCCACTTCACACCAGAGAGGGTGGCTAAGAATCACAGACGGATCCCAAGTGCTGGTGAGAATGTGGAGAACCGGAAACCCAAGACGTAGCTAGTGGGAACATGAAACAGTTCAACCCCTTTGGAAAACGGTCTCCCATTCCTCAAAAGGTTAAACACTGAGTTACAATGCCACTCCCAGGATACACCTAAGAGAAATGAACAACGTGTCTGTGTAAAAATGGGCAGGGGAATGTTCAGAATGTTTTCAGGCTTCACCCACATTGTGCCAGAATTTGCAGAAGTATATTTAGGTGAGAATTCCACTCTTTTAAGGCTAAATGATACTGCATTGCATGAAAAGTTTGTTTTCCACTCATCTGCTGAAAAATGCTTGGCTGTTTCCAAACTTTCACTCTGGTGAAAGATGCACTGTGCACACTGCTGTATCTGAGTTCCTGCTTTCAATTCTTTCGGATTTTATGCTTATCAATCTTGGGGATATAATTCTATGTTTAACTCTTTGAGGAACCACCATACTTTTCCACAGAGGCTGGACCATTTTACATTCCCACCAGAATGCACAATGGTTTCAATTTCTCTACATCCCTGCCAACACGGTGACTTTTTTTTAGATTACCAGCCATCCCAATGCACGTGTTTGACCTGCGCCTCCCCCGTGACTCACAGTGCTGGGCATCTCTGCACGTGCTTGCTGGCCACCTGTGCATCTTCTTAGGAGAGACAGCCACTCAAGTTCTATGCCCGTGTTGAGATTGGGGGTTTTTGTTGAACAGCTTTCTTTTTGGGGTGGTATGTTTTACAGTTGATTTTGGTGATGGCCGCACAGCTCAACGAATACTAAATACTGAAAACCACTTAACTCTGTGCTTCATTGTAATTAATTTATTTGTATTTTTTTGAGAGCCTGGGTTCTGTCACCCAGGCTGGAGTGCAGTGGCGTGATCTCAGCTCACTGCAACCTCCGCCTCCCAGGTTCAAGCGATTCTCCTGCCTCATCCTTCAGAGTAGCTGGGACCACAGGTGCATATCATCACACTAGGCTAATTTTTGTATTTTTAGTAGAGATGGGGTTTTGCCATGTTGGCCTGGCCTCAAGTGAAGTGATCCACCTGCCACAGTGCTGGGATTATAGGCATGAGCCACTGCGCCCAGCTTTTGAATGACATACTTTAAATGAACGCACTATAGGGTATGTGAATTATCTCAGTAATGCTGTTTTTGAAAGGACCAGGACCAAGTAAAGCGGGGAGCTGCAGCGTCTGCCCAGGGACCCTGCCCACCAGCAGTCTTGGAGAGTCTGACAACAAGGGTCGAGAAAGGCTGACCAGAGCGCTGTCTCCAGTGCAGCCTGTGCCTTGCTCATGGCAAACACGCAATAAAGAGGTCAAGGTCAGAAAAAATAGCTTATCCTGCTTCCCACACAGGTCAACCCTAGCACATCAAGCCCCATGGGCTGCGCTCTGCTCCTGTGATAGCAAATCCCTCCTGATTTCCATGGCCTATATGAGGGTCAACTTTCAACCCACGCCAGACCCTCCCTCACCCAGCACTGTGCAACTCACCGATCTCGGCACTGGGCATCGCTCCTACCTGGCACCTCTTCCCGGATTTTAAACCAATCCTGCTCCCCATATTTGGCAACAGCTTGAAGCAACTTCTACAGGAAGGGACAGGCAGACAAGTGAAATCTCTGCAGGCACGGCTGTAGCCTCCTCACCCTGGACCCAGTCAGACAAGGGCCCACTGGGGCCCCGCAGCCACTGAGCACAGTCCCGCCACTTCCCAGAAGCCAGTTCTCCCAGGGCACAGCATACTTACAGCATCTTCGTCTGGGGCCCAACACCCCTTCTTCAGGGCAGGATCCAAGCTCTTGGTCCACCTATAGATCAGCTGCATGGAGTCCCTCCCTTCCATATAGTAGACAACTAGAAACAGAGGGATGGGGTGGGGTCCCGTGGGGCCAAGTCACACACCATACTGTACACAGCTAAGGACAGGGGGGTCCCATGGGGCCCAGACACCCACCCTCCAGATGGGTCACATAGAAAGAGTCACTTTAGTCATCAAGAGGTGAACTGTGGAATAGCCAGGCCTGTTTAAGCCTTGGCACAACTTGTTGCCCCTCTGTGAATTTCCCCCACACATCTCCACTGTCCGATGTGGGGCCCGTGACAGCCTGAGAGACGCTGGGACACCAGGGGATGTGGGGGAGGGGGTCTCACTTCTGCAGGGGGGGATGTGGTGGGGGCATCTCACTTCTGCGGGAGGGGATGTGGGGGGGTCTCACTTCTGCAGGGGAGGATATGGGGGGTCTCACTTCTGCAGGAGGGGATGTGGGGGGTCTCACTTCTGCAGGGGGGGCTGTGGGGGGGTCTCACTTCTTCGGGAGGGGATGTGAGGGGGCATCTCACTTCTGCGGGAGGGGATGTTGGGGGCATCTCGCTTCTAGGGGAGGGGATGTGGTGGGGGTATCTGAATTCTGCACGAGGGGATATGGGGGCGTCTCACTTCTGTGGGAGGGGATGTGGGGGGTCTCACTTCTGCGGGAGGGGTTGTGGGGGGGTCTCACTTTTGCAGGAGAAGATGTGGGGGGCATCTCACTTCTGCGGGAGGGGATGTGGTGGGGGCATCTCACTTCTGCGGGAGGGAATGTGGGGGGGCATCTCACTTCTGTGGGAGGGGATGTGGGGGTCTCACTTCTTCGGGAGGGGATGTGGGGGGTCTCACTTCTGCGGGAGGGGATGTGGGGGGTCTCACTTCTGCGGGAGGGGATGTGGGGGGTCTCACCTCTGTGGGAGGGGATGTGGGGGGGGTCTCACTTCTGTGGGAGGGGATGTGGGGGGTGTCACTTCTGCGGGAGGGGATGTGGGGGGTCTCACTTCTGCGGTAGGGGATGTGGCTGCCAACACGCATCTCCTGCACCAGCTGTGTGAGCATGCGGTCCTCCTCTTCCGTCCACTCCTTGCGTTTCAGGGTTTTGTTGTGCTGCTGGAATTTCTGGAGGCACTGAAAGGCGCTGCGGCTGGTCTTCCCAAGGCCCAAACAAAAGCAAATGGGTGTTACTGCGCTGCAGGACATCCAGATCTGGCTCTGAGAGTGCTCCAGGCCGCAGGTGGGCCCACCAGCCACTGGGGTGACCCTTTTGCAGACCTGTGGGCTAATGGAGCGCACCCCAGGGTGGGAAGACACTACACCCACTAAAGAAGACCGGAAAGACCAGGTGAGAAGAATCAAACCTTTGCTTAAGAAAATACGAAGAATTCACAGGAGGTGACTGATGTGACTCCAAAACCACACTGCAGCTCACTCAACAGAGAAACTGGCAGCTGGGCAGGGGCCAGGAAACGTGCTGCTCTGCATGTGGTGTGCTCTTTAATGCATGTGCTAGCACCTTCTCTCCCTTCTCCAGCTCCAGGGTGTCTCCAGCTAAGGAGTGTTGGGGGGGGAGGTAAGGGACAACCCTTGGTGTGGCATCCATGTCTCAGGAGACGCCTTCAGAAGGGAGAGCCCCGAAATGACTCTCCCAGCTTCCCTGCATGGCTCAGTTCAGCAAGCCCACCTTCCGTCTACATGGCAGACCATGTGCCCAAATCTTGGAAGGGGTTTTCCAAGAGCTAATGAGTGTTACCTGAACCCTGTTCTCTTAAAGTGAGCTGCTGGGTGACAGAGGGCACTCAGGGCTGGACGTGGTGTCGCTGAGCTGTGAGGTTTGCTTCCAAGGCTTTCTTCCCTATCAAGTCCTTCCCAGCTTGTTTCAGCGCAGTTCAATCTGAGACTCGTTCACCACAAAGAAAACCACTGCCCCCAGTTGTGTGAGCCACAGGGCAATCCTAGTCATATGTGTGAGCCTTGTTCCCCCAGCCCCCAGGCCCACACGGGAGCACTTCCGGGGACATCGACAGGCTTAAGGCCTCATCTGTACTCCTACACTCAAGCTGGCACTTCCCAACAGTGGAAGTAGAGATCCTTCTCACACCCATCCTGAGCCTGCCGAAGGATCTGGGAAGGCACAGGACTGGAGGGTGAGGCGGGGTTCAGAGCCCAGGTCCTGCTGGGGGAGCTGAGAGCAGCGGCCCCACAGGAGGCTGGAATGAGGCTGCCGAGGCCTTAGCCTGGCTGTGACAGGGCCAGAACACTTTCCTGGAAGGAGGAAGAATCTGGTGGGGGAATTGCTGGCATCGCGATTTCCAATATTCACAGAGAAGCATGTCTGACTGCATGTTCCAAGGAGAAAAAGCCATTGACGGGATGGAAGACACCAGAGGGTTCACAAGGAGAAAAACTGCACTCATGGTTTCATCAAACCAGCAAGACAGAGTGGAAGGGAAAGAGGCCACAAAGTAACACAGCTCAACACACCAGACCCAGGCAGGGCACCAGGAACACCAACCCTCCCTGTGAAGCCAGAGGCTGGCCAGGCGGGTGACAAAACAATACCCAGCCACATGCTGCTTTCATGAAAATGCCTCAAATGACGTTTTAAAGGGCCAAAAATACAGGAATGGGTAAAAAATATAAAATAAAGCAGGAGTGGCAACATCTTTAGCAGGAAGATGGAATTTAAGCTTAAAAAGAATAAGGAAGATAAAGGGATAATGACTTTTTTTTTAGACAAAGTCTCACACTGTTGCCCAGGCTGGAGTGCAGTGGCACGATCTCGGCTCATTGCAACCTCCACTTCCAGGGTTCAAGCAATTCTCCTGCCTCAGCCTCCTGAGTAGCTGGGATTACAGGTGCATGCCACCACGCCCAGCTAATATTTTATATTTTTAGTAGAGACAGGGTTTCACTATGAAGGTCAGGTTGGTTTCAAACTCCTGTCTTCAGGTGATCTGCCTACCTCGGCCTCCCAAAATGCTGGGATTACAGGCGTGAGCCACCATGCCCAGTCGATAATGACTTTTAAAAAAAACATAATTTGCAAAGTAAACACAGTCATCATGGCTGGGAGCCGAGATGGCACCACTGCACTCCAGCCTGGGCAATAGAGCTGGACTCTGTCTCAAAAAAAAAAAAAAAAAAAAAAAATCCCAAAACACCAAAGTCATCATAAAGTTATGTGGGCTGGGCATAGTGGCTCAGGCCTGTGATCCTAACACTTTGGGAGGCTGAGGCAAGGAGGACTGTTTGAGCCAGGAGTTCAAGACCAGCCTTGGTTCAATTCAGTAACTGATATAGACCAGGCCCTATGTACAGAGATAAACAACTTTCTCTTAAAAACAGTTTTGACGAGTTTAGCTTGGTCTGCTATAATCAGGTGCTCGGCCATAAAGTAACACATCTGAAAAATGGAGATTCTACCAATTATGGCCCTAGGTCAAGTTCCAGTCAAATTCAGATAAAGAACCACCATAAAAACTCCCAGAAACCCAACTATCTAAAAATGGAAACACAGATTTCTAGATGAACCTGGGTTCAAAGAGACAGTAACAATGGAAACGGCGGCTACTCTGGAATCATGGAAAACCGGTTCACGCCAAGCTGCTCGCAGAAGTGGCCTGAAAAGCCTTCCTTATCAAGACACAAGGCCCCACATGTCAAGAACTGAGTCCTCACACAGGAAACCAGAAAAATGGCAAAAATAACTCAAACCAGGAAAAAGCATTCTTTAGAAACATCAACAAAATCAACTCCTGAGCTTGATGGAGACAAAAGAGTAAAAATAAGAAAGGCGACAATCGCCGGTAAGCTGAGCCTGCACGGCTGCCTGAGAGGCCCAGGGGAGCATGGCCGCATGTGTCAGAGAGGTGGGCGGGCTGCCTTCCCCAGGGCCACAGCCTAGAGGTGGCAACATACAGAAACCTGAAGGCTAGCAAGCACCGGGGACCCCGCACCTGTCCGGCAGCTTCCCACTATGGAGCCCACACGCCCTCAGGCCTCCTGCCCCCGGAGTCCGGGGTGGGTTCTTACCCCCAGCTCCTCTGCAATCCTCTGCCACTCCAGGTGGCCATGTGTAGCCGCGATCGCCTGCAGCCGCTCCAGCTCCTCCCTGCTCCACTCCTGCTTGTTGATGCTGGGGTGCTCCGAGTTCTGCCAGAACTTCTGGATCTCCTCTGCGCTGCGGCTGCCTTCAAACTACACCAACAGAGACATTCAGCCTTGTGTGGTAACCTCCCTTCTGGGCAGAGGAAGCAGAGCTAAGCAGACCCCCGGCACAATTGGTGCCTCAAGAGTATCTTACTGCTCATTTATTTCTTTTTGTACATATCTCTTCATAAATAATCACACCTTAGTTTATAGTCAGAGGAGTGTCTAGAGCAGAATCATTGCAGAGCACGAACTAGGGTACCACAACCACACCAGGACAGGAATCAATGGCCCAAGCGGTAGTGCCCCTGCCTGAAAGGGCATGTGCTACATGGCAGGCTGGCCCAGGCAGCAGCGTTCAATATCATAAAGATACCCGCTGTATGGCAGGCTTGCAGCAAGCCACTCCTCCTGAAAGGGAGTTGTAGTTTCTTGTATCTGGTTCTTATGGAAAGCTGGCCTCAGGCTGGCAATCTCGTGTTATGTCCGAGGGCTCAAAACCCCTCCGGTATAATCGCGCCTAGGTGGTCCTACACCCTGTCCACTCTGTTGCAATTGTGCTGACTCAGAGTACCCTCCTGTAGAAATGCCTAGAAGTAGCCTGCCCCTAGATCAGAGATGCTGCACACTGCACCCTCCTGGCTGCACACCACCCACCTCCTTGCCTCGGTGGCCTCATGGGGGAGAACCCCTTGCTTATCGCTCACGTGACTGTCTGGACCCTATCACTGTCCTTAAGATGACCTTACTACCCTTCCCCACAACCTGTACCTAATAATACAGACACGCCTAGACACTGGGGACCTCGCCTGTCTCTGCCTGTATGTGGCGTTGGCCCTGAGCCCAGCTGCTCCTATCCAGTCCTTCGGTGTTCTGTCTCATTTCTTGGATCCCGTGTCTCAGCACAGTGATAGGGGACACCCCACGACCCTAGTAGGGTTGGACCCTACAGCCTTGCAGGCCACTGACCCCAGGGGCGCCCTTGACGCAGCTCCAGGCTGAGCCGTTGCTCTCGCCAGTCAGCTGCAGGCTTCCATGGCTGCCAGGAAGCGGAATCTTCGTCCGGCTCACTGGGCCTTGCATAGCCAAACACGTAGACTTGGGTCCAAATGCAAGGCCGGGAACCTTGCGACTGTCTCAGAAGGGGCCGTGCACCAGAAGGCCCTCATGAGGCCGCTCGCCACTCCCGACCTCTGGAAGTGCACTTCACCAGGGTGGCAGGGGGGTCACATGGAAACTGTGGCTCAGGGGTGTGTGGCCTTAACCCCCAATTCCAACCGCACCCAGGCTACAAGCAGCTGCGCTGTGAGCTGCTTGGGGCTTAGAGCTGCCCCTAACTTACATTCATATTGGAAATCTTCTCCCAGTCGTGGCTATCCAGCCTGTTTCCCAGCAAAGCCTCTTCAGGAAGCTGGCTAGAGGAAGGGATCAGGGCATTGGCACCATGCCTAGCCTGGGGGCTCCCCTGGGCCCTCCCGGGAGGACCCCTCACTTAATGTCCTGGATCTCCTTCTCGGCCTCCCTGGCCTGCTTCTCCAGGGCCTGCCTCTCTGGCTCACTGGAGACTTTGCTCTGCTTCTGGTGCAAGTACTCGAGCCTGTGAGGCAGAACAGAGGTGGAGGGGCCATGGGCCTGAGGGTTGCTGGCTGGGATTCTGAGTCTTCCTCACCCTCCCTGCCTCGGCCTCCTCACCCATGAGGGAAGCTGTGGCATCTATCTCTAGGCTGCCACCCGAGTCAGAAGGGCTGCAGTGCCTGCTGAAGCAGAGGCTACTGCCTGCTGGCCCCCATGTCTCAGAGCTCGCCACAGTCCTCCCAAACCTCAGTGCCCCAGCTCCTAGCCTATGCCTGGCACAGAGACGCAGCTGTGGGCAGATGTCCTGACTCATGCCCAGTGAGGAGGCTGGAGGCTGTGAGGCCACAGTGAAGAACCACTCCCCAGTGCAGGCCAGGGAGGAAAACCCAGCTCTCCCTGAGCCTGAGGAGGGGTCCGTGATTGCCACTGCAAACCTTGACCCCCCACATCAAGCCACGTGGGGCAGGTGGGTCCTGGGACCCCAGGCCTGGGCAAAGGCCTCTCAGTGCCCAGAGATGCCGTGGCTGCTTCGATCCTCACGGCACCGTCTCTGCCTAGAGAGCTCATGGTGGTCGCACAGAAGATACGTGGGGACCGCGCGCTGCTGAGGGAGCGGCGAGCCTGGTGCTGCTGGGTCTCCCGGTTCTGGGAGCCCCTCTGTCCTGGACTGCAGTCATCCAGACAGCAGCACTTGCCATCAAGCGCTGACAGTAAGGCCACATTGTGCCTCGCTTCAGTCACGCTTTATCACCCCATCAGCAAACAGGTTTCAGGAATGGGGAAAAGAGAGGCCCAGAGAGGAGAAGCTGCCTGAGCTGCACACCTCACTGTGGCCGTGTGGACTGACCCCACACTTAGCCACCTGGCCATGGGGAAGCCCCCTTGAGGGGTAAAGGGCATAAAAATCCAGGCATCAGCCTCTTGCCATGGCTGGCAGGAGCTGCGCTGCAGGGTAGAGGCATGCAGCTAAGCTGAACCCCCACCAAGCCCACACCGCCAGGCCTGGACTTTTCCTGTTGGCTGGGAAAGGCTGTTTTGTTTGTTTTTGAGACAAGGCCTCGCTCTGTCGCCCAGGCTGGAACGTAGTGGTACAGTCTTGGCTCACTGCAGCCTTGACCTCCTGACCTCCTGGGCTTAATCAATCCTCCCACTTCCGCCTCCCAAGTAACTGGGACCACAGGCGGGTACCACCACACCCAGCTCATTTGTTTACTTTTTGATTTTACTTTTTCACAAGCCAGGCTGTCCAGGCTGGCCTTGAACTCCTAGGCTTAAGAGATCCTCCTGCCTTGGCCTCCCAAAGTGCAGGGATTCCAGGCATGAGCTGCACCCAGCCTGAAGGCTGTTTCTGACCTTTGTTTTTAGACTTACTTCAGTAACTTGGGCTGAAGCAATCGTTGCAGGCGGTCACTCACTACTGACTTTCGGAGCAAGGCCTTTTCCCAGTTCTTCCCTGAGGAGAAGCCACAGTGCCATCACTGAGGGTCTGGGTCCACTCCATGGCCCAGCCCGGTGGTCAGTGTTCACTTCCCGAGGCGGTGGGGGGGCCCACAGCGAGTGAGCAGCACGCCAGGCCCACAGATGCAGCCCCTCCATCCAGCAGACACAGCTCCACCCAAGGCTTGGTGCCAGCTCAGTGCACAGTCACCAGGGCTCTGCGGCCCAACACGAGGTAGGGAGACCAAGAGGGTGGGGTGGCATTCTGTAAAGGGCCTGCTCAGTGTGGGAAAGGCAGGAGTCAAGGGGCCAGTCCCAATGGTCAAAGCCTGAAGGAACCATGAGGTCACAGCAGAGAGAAGTCTGACATCTTGGGGAGAAACCAGAGAAGGCAAGGCTGTGGTGAGGGGTCGCCAAGTTCCAGGGTGCCATGGGGCTGGCCGGGGCTCTTACATTTGGTCACGAGGAGCTCCTCGAAAGCCTTGATACCCTGGGCAGCCTTCTCCCGCGTGTCTTCGTTGGCAGGGGGCCCCTGTCAGGGCACACCACATTACCACAGGCACAGACCACGCGTGCTCCCTGCAGGCCCAGGGCATCCCTCGGGAGCCCACAGCAGGACTCGGGCCCCTGCCTCCCGTCCGCCCCCACTGAGGCTGAGGGGGTGCAACCCTGTCGGCTCCCCAACAAGGCTGAGGAGTCAGGCCTTGCGAACGCAACATGGGCACCTGCATGAGGGTTTGTGCAGCGCTTCACAGGGGCAGGCCCTGGAGCCCAGCACAACGCAGCACAGAGGTCAGCCTGCCCACCACGATGAGGTGGTTTTAAGGAGGCTGACCAACGTTATCTTGAACTCAAGGGAATTCATGACGCCCCACAGCAGGACCCGGGGACAAGAGCCCTTCCTGTGGGGCCCAGAGCCTCGCTGATGAGAGCAGGGCCTCGGCTACTCACCACGCCGGTAACCTTGTCCTTGAAATACGGCTTCATGAAGTGCCCCATGTATGTGCTTGGGGGCAGGCTCTTGCCATCCTTCACCTTGGTGCCTTTGGACCCAGCCAGATCCCTCATGAGTTCCTCCTGTGACAGACACAAGGCAAGGACCCCTGTGGGCCGGCAGCAACAACTCTGCCTGTGGAGAAGGGGACCCAGGGCAGGGGAGAGAGAGCACTGGGGAGCTCTGGACCTGGGAGGCCCAGCTGTGGGAGGCTCTTGGGGTGGGGAGGCGTGGGCATTGTGGGCCACGGCCCATCCTACCTGCTGCTCCCGGTTCTGGGCCAGCAGCAGGTTGGCATCAGCCAGTTTCTCCTGGATGACCTCCTGGTAGACCATGTTCAGCTGCAGGCAGGTCTCTGGGTCTTCGGGGAGGGTCTTATCCTTGGGGTCGCCCTCATCATTGCTGGCTTCACCCCACCTTTCTTCTTCCTAGTTACGAGCCAGAAACGGCACATAAGGAGATGAAACGTGGATGGTCCCGTCCTCGGGAGCCAGTCACCTGCTGCTGGGCCTCTGGGACACTGAGGCAGCTCCGGCGCAGCAACAGCCAATGTGGAAGCAGGAAGAGGTCCTAGTGGGCAGCAGGAGGGTGTCTGAGCCTGGGAATGGCCTGTCGCTCTCCAGGTGGCCCGTGTGAGCCTTTCCTAGTCCACGGCAGGTGGAGCCCCCTGCTGGAACGCACCAGGACTGGGGAGAACCTGAAGTCTGCCCCGAGCCATTGTGTCCATCACTAGCGACGCACGGGGAGTAAGCACGTGTGGCAGCAAGTCTCTGCAGAGCCAGGAAGCAGATGCAATGAACACCTGGCTACAGTGGGCTCTCGCCAACAGATGGACCACATGGCCGCTAAAACGTGAGCTAACTCAGTACCTACTGACTTGCTGGAAAAAAGCAGCAAATGGCAAACGTTTTCCAAAGGAAACAAAAGGCAGCTGCTAGTGGCTGTCCTTACTGGGTGGCCGCCACGTGCTGTTTAGGTGCTCGTGTATTTCTCTTTTTTTTGAGACAAGGTCTCACTCCACCACCCAGGCTGGAGGGCAGTGGTGCATTCACACCTCACTGGACCCTCGACTTCCTGGGCTCAAGTGATCCTCTTGCCTCAGCCTCCCAAGTAGGTGTGTGCCACTGTACCAGCTTTATACAGCTGCTTGTGTTAACTGATGTGTGCTGTAAATGTCCCCACTATCCCACAGGAATCTGAGGCACAGAGAGGTGAGCTGTGAGAGGCAGGACCCAGGTGCAAGGCTCACAGCTGTCCATGAGTGACAGATGCCACACTGGAGATAGAGGCATACAGGTATAAGCTCAGAAAAAAGCCAAGGGATGTGATCACCAAGCTGTTAACAGTGGTTATTTCTAGGGACAATTACAGTGATAGTTGCTTTATCTGATTTCTTTTATAACAAAGGTACATCATTCTTATAATGCAGAAAAACCACCAATATGGTTCAAACCACACCCCCTCCTCCCAGGCCACTGGGGAAGGTGGTGGCAGGCCTGGCCCAGTGGCACAGCCAGGTCAGGCAGCAGTTACCGAGATGAGGGCATCAGCAGCGTCCAGGTCCTCAGAAGGCAGCGAATCTGTCAGAAATACAAGCAACACAGTGTGGGACCAGCATTGGGTTGGGGTGGGGTGCAGCTCACCACTGCCTCTTGGGCAGGGCAGAGGAGGATGGGCCTGGGGCCGTCTGGTGACGAGAGCCTCAGGCTGAAGCTTGCAGTGAGTGGACCTTCCCTCCCCTACAGTGGGGTGGGCACTGGACCAAGGCGGGGTCAGCCAGACAGAGAAGACTCTGACTGCATGCTGGGGAGCCCCAGGCACATGGGACAATGCTACACAGGGCTCACTGGATGGCACAGGCTGTTTTGCACTGAAGAGACAGACGGGGAAGCTTTAGTGGAAAATGGGCCTGTCCTTCTGGAGCTCAGCCAGTCAGAGGGGAGGCATGGACACAGAAGCCCTGACCACAGGAGAAAGACAGCAGGTTGCCTCAGAGGCAGGCCCTGGGTCTGGGGAGAGGGGGCAGCAAGGCTGGGAGATCTCCCAGCAAGGCAGCAGCTGGTGGGGTTGGGGGAAGGCTCAAAAGCCAAAGGGACCATAAAGGGGAACATGTCGGGAGGGGAGCAGGTTGGGAGGGCAGGCTGTGGGAGGGGAGGCTGTGGGGTGGGGTCAGGTGGGGAGGGGAGGCTGAGAGGAGAAGAGATCCTGGGGGTGTGAGCTGTGGTGACCATCCAGGCATGGACTGTCCATGCTGCCGTTGGGTGAGCTCCAGGCCCGCCCTCTCCTCCCAGGATGGTCCACTCCAGAAGCCCCGCACAGGGCCGAGGCAGCCAGTGCCAGACCCTGGGAGGCCTAGAGCCCACAGTACACACACAGCCAGCAGGTTCAGGGGCCAGCAAAGAAGGAACTGTCAGAAGCTCTCTGGCTGGAGATACCAGTGTTGGTAAAACTGTCAGAAGCTCTCTGGCTGGCAGACACCAGTGTTGGTAAAAATTTGGGCCTGGTCCAAGCAGCACCAGCCATCATTTTATCATCATTATTATTTTTAGAGACAGGCTCTTGCTGCGTCACATCCAGGCTGGACACGAACTCCTGGATTGAACAATCCTCTTGCCTCAGCCTCTGTAGTCCCTGGGATTAGAGGCCAGAGAGATCACAGCCAGCTACCATCACACCCTAATGTACCCGAGAGGAACCCAGAGGGCGGGCAGACCAGCTGTTCTTAGCTAGGCCCCAGGAGGCCAGGTGCAAGGGGCTCACCTGCTTCAGAATCTGACTCAAAACTTGACTCTGAGATTCCCATGCGCGTGCCCGAGGAGCTGGGGTCCAAGATCCTCTCCAGCTCCTTGATCTCCTGTGTTATCTTCTCTCTTTCAGCATCTACGTCCATGACTTCGGCTGCTTCCAAAACACCATACCAGGATCCCGCTCTCCTTCAAACACACCTGCCCGCAGGGGATGGCAGGAGCCTGCTCGGCGGTGGGCACTGAGCTCCTCAGAGAAAGAGTAAGAGGCCAGGCTCAGAACCGGGGAGCCCTGGGGCTACAACCTCAGATCCTTGTGTACCCCACGAACTCCTGCTATGTGCTCCACCAAGAGCCTAAGCCCCAAGAACGTCTCCTGCCTGCTCTGAGGCTACAGCCAGCACAGGCAGGGAGTGGATGAACAAGGACAGGCCCCACTGTCCAGTCTCTGCTGGCACGCCAAGCCACTCGGAAACTCGACACCCAGTGCAGAAGGTTTGTGGTGCAGCGGCGAGGTCACCACAGGGCAAGGACACAGCCTGTGACCCCCGTGAAAACTAAACCCACGGCCACAGCTTCGGGCCATCCTGCTTTCCCATGGTGCAGAGCTGGACCCACAGAGGACCTCTGAGAAACTTTCAGAGAGACATGAACTGAGACTGTCCAGGCGACAGCACCAACGGGACAGGGGAAGGAAGCTCCCAGAGGCAAGGCTGGCTGTTCTCTGCGCATCCAGAAGGGTACCTGGAGCGCGGTCGGGCCTGACTCTGAACAGATGTTTGTCAAGGTTTTTTCTTAGGAACGGTGGTCTGGGAAGTGTGGAGGGAGTAGGACTCTGGATGACAGTGTGGAAGAATAAAGCGTTAGCAGAGAAAATCTCAAAGCAGCACTAGACCCAGGAGCCCAAACTACCCAACAGAGAAACACCCTCCCCTGTCCCTGCATGGCTCTGCGCCGCAGAGTGACAGGGGCCCTGCCCAGCTGGAACAAAACCGAAGCATCCACCCTCGAGCACCGTTAGCTGCAGCAGCTCAGGGCCTTCACTCCTGCACAAGGCCCCTGCTTATGACCCAAATGCTTGTGAACCTGTAAACAACTCAGCTAACAGCCGGCGGAGATGCTTTCCCCAGAGAGCCTCACACAAGAGGCTGCTGCCTCCCCTCCCCGTGTCGCTAAGGTGAGTGATATTCAGCAGGAATGAGGTCAAAGTCACACGTCCTGAGCCACTGACTTAAGGGGCTGACCCTCTGCCTGCACCCCTCTCCCACGGGCTGGTCCTGAGGGCTGCCCACCAGGACGGAGCGCAGCAGGCGGCCCCTCCAGCCCCAGCTGCGGGGACGCCACCCGGACTCGCCTGAGCCCACGGAACCCCAGGAAGAGCCAGGGCGGTGGGCATTTAGGCACCGGCTTGGGAAACATCCGGCCAGGCCCAGATCCGCCTCCCGCTCGCTGCGGGACCTGGGGAAGCCCCCTTCGAGGCTCGGCCGCCGCGCAATCCCGAGACGCACACGGGAGCCCTGCAGCTGGGGCGGCCCCGCCAGAGCCTCCTCAGAGCCCGCGGGGGCCGCAGCCGGCTCCCAGCAGAGGGCCCCCCAGGGCCGGAATCCCCGCGGGCCCGGGCTCGGCCAGACGGGGCCACGCCGGGCCTCAGTTTCCCAGACTTTGGACGCTACCTCTCCCCATACCGGGCCTCGGCTGTCCGCACCTTGGGACAGCGCCCCCTCCGCGGGGAGAGGCTGGGAGCTGCCGGCGTCGCCCGCGCTTTACCTGACAGGCGCAGCCCTTACCTACCGGCGCGAACCCCGCCGTCTCCCGGGCGACCGCAGACTCGACGCTTCCGCCGGCTGGGGAACTTGAGCGCCGCGCGCCGGAAGTCCCGCCGCAATGCGCGGGGCACGCCGGGACGGCCGCTACAGCCACCCGGGACCACAGGGGCTACCGGCTCAGTGCTTCCCTCGCGTGGCCGTCCTGGGCACCGCCTCCGCACGCTCTGGAGGGGCGCGGGAGGACGCGGGATCCCAAGGCAGGGGACAGGCGGGGACAGGCACCTGGCCACCTGGTCACGATTCCGGAAGCCCGGTCCTCACTGGCTGTGACTTCGGCCATTGCTGGACCTCTCTCTGCCTGTTTCATCCTCTGCTAACGGACATCTTGGGGTTTGGTTAAACAACCAAGGAGAAAGTCTACTTGAAGGGCTTTTCCCGAGCCTGTCCTGCATGCTCAGGACGCCCAGGCCAGGCCAATATCCAGGCACGTGCAGGAGACCGAGGCCAGAAGGGGTGGGGCCCGCACCACGCTGAACTCACTTGCTTCCCTGGTCACCTATGCACAACTTCCAGGCCCTCTGGGGTGGCCTGGCCTGGAAACCTGCCCTGGGGCCCTACCCTAAGTGGGTATTCATTCTTTCAGGAACATGCCAGGGCTGACTCCGCTGGGAGCTGGGCCAGGGCCTACAGTTCCTGGCTCCTGAGAGCTTGGGGGCACCACAGGTGCTGCAGAGACATCCTGAGGCCTGGCCAGTGAGGGGGCCCCAACTCCAGCCTGAGTTTTGAGCTGGGGGCATCAGCTGGGGAACTATAAAGGGGGATTGCCCCATCTACCCAGGAAGTGGGCTTTTGGTGGCAAAGGGCTAGGCCCAGGAGAGGCCAGGCTGGGAGCTAAGGATTGGCAAGAAACAGATAGAGAAGATGGAACCAGACAGCCATAGGCTCCTCGAGTACCTCCTGTATAGGTCCCTGCATCGTTGGGAACTGCCTGAGCAGGGCTCAAAAGGTGGAGGCAGATGCAGGCCCTAAATACAGAGCTGTGAGTTGTATTTTTAAATTTCTTACTACAGAATGCTTCAAACACAAACACCAAAAGAGAGGAGTGTGCAAAACCGGTGTGTCCATCTCCCCCTTGCTTCCCTGGGCCCCATCTGCTCCATGAGCCGCGGGCATGAGGGCCAGTGGCCACCCTGCTTTACAAGCATCTGGTGGATGGGGCCTGGCTGGTGATCTGGCCTTTGTGACCCCCACCCCATAAAATGCTGTCTTTCCCACAGGGCCTCCGGAAGGTCTGTGGCATGACGCATCCTGCTGGAAGCCCCCAATCCTGCTGCTACAGGGCTCCAGGTAGGGCCTCAGCCCTATGGGGTCATGGGGTGTCCCCTATAGCTGTGCTGAGGCGCAGGATCCGGGAAGTAAAGCGACAGGACACAGAAGGACTGGAAAAGGCAGCTGGGCTCAGGGGACCACGCCACCTAAGAAGAGCAGAGATAGGTGAGACCCCGAACATCCAGAAGCATCTGTATTTATTAGGTACAAGGCAGAAGGGTTGTGAGGTCATCTATAGGGTTAACGGTAGGACATACATAATCATTTGAGTAGCAGGCGATGGGCCACCCCATTATGTCACCTAGGAAGAGCAGTGGGCCACACGCAATAATAGAGGGCTGTGTACAAAAAAGGGTCCACCCCATTACGTCACCAAGGCAAGGAGGTGGACTGTGTGCAACAGGTGTCGTGCTCAACACTTATCTGGGGGCTGGAAAACTTCAGTGTTTCTAATAGGATACTGTAGGGCCAATGTAGTGGGAGCTGACAGACCTGGCTCTTCTCTAAGATATTTATGGGAGGATGATTTGAGCTAGCACAGAAGTGAGAAAAGACTGACAGTGTGTACAGCCGCTGTGACTGATGACACCAGAGCGGTTCTTCTTCCTGGTTACCTTCGTTACGTGTTTGCGGGATCGCAGGCCTGAGGCCTACCTCCACAGGAACTGAGCAAGGTACTAAGCTCCGTTTTAATCAGAGGAGACTCTTTGCCTCCAAGACTCTGCCATACAGCGTATGCCCTTTTAGGCAGGGACGCCACGGCCTGGGTCTTTGGTTCTCGTCCTGGTCTGGCTGTTTTCCCATGTACTGCTTCTGTTCTGTGACTGCTCTAGGCATTCCTCCCACTACAGACTACTATTAGCTATATAGAAGGATTCTATAAATCAGCACTAAATGTGTCTGTACAGCTCCGATTATAATGCCTGTATGATTATATAGAATATATAATTATGTAGACTATGACTACATAGAAACATTATATGGAACTCAATATGCTAGATAGAAGTACTAAGTATGACTACATAAGCTAGATATATATAAGCTGTAAGCTGTACTTCAGGCACTAGTTGTGATTATAAACTAATGCACGATTATATATGCAGGATTATATTAACAGCTGTGTAATAACACCATAAACTAAGATATTCTCCAGACACTGACTGTGCCTGGGGTTGCACAGCTCCCCTTCCTCGGGCCTGTGTGGGGTTGCCCACACTCCCAGAGCTCCTGCATCATTCAGAAGCTGACTCCAGCACCTTACAACCACAGCACAATCCAGAACCTCTGCTTTCACCGACAGGCAGGACCACAGACGCACGGGGCTGGGCAGCAGGACCGCTCCGCAGGGCCTCCTGGAAGGCTGACCTTCACCTGTGGCTGAGGCCAGGGGTCTCGTGGTTCAGATACCTTGTCTGAAAATTCAACCACATGATCTGAAAGAGTGACCCAACGCTGGAATCCATCTGTCCAACTCTGAAACGTGCATCATGTGTGAGTCCCTGCACTCAGGCCCAGGCAGCTGTGGTCTGAGTCTGCCCCTGACCCCAAGGGCTGAGGACCTGGAGAGCACCTGCCAGCGCAAGGCACTCATCAGGGAGAAGCAGGGGAGCTATGGACGGCTGAGGTATTCTCCAAGGCCTGGCTAAGTCAGCAGAGAAGAGACTGGGGTGAACTGCAGAATTTATTTAAATAAGAAAGCTATCAATTGGAAAGGAGGAGAAACAAACTTGTTAAAAAAACATCTATAGGAAAATAGTTTAAAAGGCATTTAGTGCGTGTGGCCTTCCCTCTGTGGGAGGCGGTCAGAAAGGCAGCTGGGACCTCATACAAACCTGGGCAGGCTCTGCTCATACTTGAAATTCCTGAATTCTCAGCCGAAACGTACAAAATGTTGCTTGAAAACAATTAGAACCCCCAGCCAATGAGGCCCATTTAGCACGGAATGCGTGGTCTTGGTCCCCAGGTCCAGGGGGGAGGACACCAGCAGCCACACGGTGGCCCCTCCACACTCAGGCCAGGACTGCAGAGACCACCCGCTGGGGCCGCGAGAGTGACCTGGGAGCCAGATGGAGCCCTGAGTGCCAGCGGAAGGCACAGGTCCCTGCCCAGGCTGCCACCTCTGAGGCTCATTGAGTGTTTTTTCTACTTAGGAAATCAAGGACAATCAATTGTAGTTATTTTACAGCTGCTGTTCTGGGATCAGAAGGAAAACGCTGATGACAGAACCGCTCTTCTGGTGTTTAGTAATTTCTTAAAATGACTGGCTTTTATAACAATGTCTTCCAGAGCACATTAGAATCCATAAAATTGCAGGGATTTCACCAAGAAGGGCTGCACAGAAACTCCTGGGCAACTCAGCCAGGGGCTGCTCCCGCTGCAGTGGCCAGAACCGGCCAAGGGCACCACACTGGAACCTCGCTCACGATAAACACTTTACTCCAAGGGCACAACTGCACATTTAGACAAGCGGTGGTGATCTCAGGGCATACACACAGCCGAAAACACCCAGGGGTCCTCAAGGGTCCTCCTCATCTGTAATCTCAGAAATTCTGTCTATAGATTTAAGGATTTCAACAACAAGATTCAGCGTCTCGGCTCCCGAAACCAGTTGCCTGAAAGCAAGCATAGATATCAGGATGGGCAACAGCTACTCAGCAGCTACTCTGCAGCAACGGGGTTGGTTGGGGTGGGGGAGAGAAAGGCGAGGGGAGAGGTTCCAGGGGGAGAAAGGAGAGAGGTTCTGGGGAGAAAGGGGAGGGGTTCCGGGGGAGAAAGGGGAGGGGTTCTGGGGAGAAAGGGGAGGAGTACTGGGGAGAAGGGGTAGGAGTTCTGGGGAGAAAGGGGAGGGGTTCTGGGGAGAAGGGGGAGGAGTTCTGGGGAAAAGGGAGGGGTTCTGGGGAGAAAGGGGAGGAGTTCTGGGGAGAAAGGGGAGAGGTTCTGGGGAGAAAGGGGAGGGGTTCTGGGGAGAAATGGGAGGAATTCTGGGGGGAGAAAGGGGAAGCATTCTGGGGAGAAGCATTTTGAGGGGTTCTGGGGGGAGAAAGGGAGGGGCTCCAGAGGAGAACGACAGGTTTTCACCTCCCGTGAAGAGATCCATACCTCACTTCACAGGAGAACGGGTTCCCCTGTCCACAGGAAGCTCTCTGGGGGGGCCAACACCACCCTGCAGAGCTCAGCCTAGTGGGTAGAGACACTCAGCACTGTCACAGTGACGGTGGCTGACGTGTCCCCAGCCAGGCACAGTAGTGAGGACCTTCTGGGAATTTGCTTTTTCAGCAGGAGGGAAACTCCCACTACGTGCTTTACTCAGAGCTTTAGTCCGCAGGTGGTAGAGCTGGGAGTTAATTCCGGGTGGTAGTACTGTCTGCACCTCCCAGCTGTGACTGGACACTGTCCAGCAGGTCGGAGAGCCTGTGGTTTGCTCACAGTGACCCAGAGAGCGAACAGACCACTGAGCAGGTGCTCCCCCCTGCGGCTCCCTAGTCCGCCAGCCATGGTTCCCTCAGCCTGGATCCCCACCCAGGACCACTGATGGCCACTCCAATCTCATCCAGTTCTCTGCCAGGCTTCCCAGCACCCCAGGCACTCACTTGATGGAAGCCTGTGCACCGCTCATGACCCCTCGGAGATTCTGCAAAGCTATGTTGGCGTTCTGCTTCACCACTGTCAGGCTGGCACCCTGGCCGCACCGCAGGGCTTCGTTCTCTCGCTGGAAGTTGGAGACCTGCGCCTGGGGTGAAGGTGAGGGCTGAGGAGAGCGCATCTCCGAGGCCATCCAGCTGAAAGTGCATCACGTGGCAAAGTAGGGACTTGCCCATGGGGGCCAGGCACACTCAGGATGGGTGCTCTGGCCTAACTGGGGGCTTGCCTCTGGGACTGGGGACCTAACAGCTTCCCCTTCACTCCAGTATAAGCCCAGCACCCGACTACAGAAACAGGGACTCCGGCCAGTGGACGCCCCGTGCCAGATCCCAAACTCCTAACAGAGATCCAGCACTCCCTCTGCTCCAGGTCCTGATGGAAAGTGGGTGCGGTCCCCATTGACCCCGTCTTAAGTCCTTTATCTGCCTGGACACGGGAAATCCCAGCAGGTCTTTCACATGTTTCTTCTTGAATTCTTATCTATGTGCCTCCACAAATCAGAGGAAAACACTGAGGTCCTTTAATTACCTGAAGCAAATTTACTTCCTGTTTCAGTTTCATGACGTGGTTTTCTGCCTTTACAGCCCGTTTCTGTTACCAAAGAAAAAAAAAAAAAACAGGAAAAGGCATCACTGACGTCCTCACGTCCATACAGGACATGGGCCCAACCCAGGGAACAGGAGGCCACCCACTGTGGCTGTGGTCCTTCCCAGCCTCTGCCCACCCAGTCCTGCCCCTACTCTGAGACCGCTCATGGGAGGGGCTCACCGTGCAGCGCCTGTGCTCCACCCCCACCCTCCATGGATGGCCTCCCAGGCTGGCTGGGACACAGCGAGACAGCCACACCAAGGGAGGCTGGTCCCTGAGAGCCACATAGCCCCACTCCCAAGGGCAGTCTGCACTGGCTCCACAACACCCACCCGGCTGCTGAGGACAACAGCACTCTCTTGGGAGCTTTCCTGCCCCACCCAGCTCCCCCCGATTCAGAGAAAGCCGCCCGTACGGTCATCAGCTCCAGGTTTTGCTCCACCTGCTGAACCACTGACTCCAGGTCATGGTAGTCACTTTCCTCCTTGATCATTTTTGCTTCTAATTTCCGCTCAAGTGTCCTCACCCTTGTTAAAGAAAAACCCAAGTTGTTAATTTCTGTAACTACTTTAAAGAGTACTACAAAAGGATACCTCACTAGCCAAATAACACCCGCTAAGAGCCTGTGACAGACGGGCCTCAGACACAGAGGGGGACAGCGGCATCCTCAGGTCTGGAGCTGCAGCGGCTACGAGGCAGGCGTGCAGGAAGGGGCTCTCACACCTTTGCTGCCCCAGTAAGGAGTCTGGTGGCTTTTTTGTCTTGGCCAAGCACAGTGGCTCACACCTGTAATTCCAATACTTTAGGAGGCTGAGGCGGGTGGATTGCTTGAGGCCAGGAATTTGAGACTGGCCTGGGCAACACAGTGAGACCCTGTCTCCACAAAAATAAAATTTAAAAATTAGGCAGGTGTGGTGGCAAACACCTGTAGCCCCAGCTACTTGGGAGGCTGAGATGGGAGGTTTGCTGGAGCCGAGGAAGGCAAAGCTGCAGTGAGCCGTGATTGCACCACTGCACTCGAGCCTGGGTGACACAGCAACACCCTGTCTCAAAAGAAAGAAAGAAAATTTTATGCAGAACATGGAAATGTGTTTCATGCTGAACTTTTTAATAAACTAAAGCCAGATCGTTTGATTCTGATTCCCTCAACATCATTTAAAAATGGATTTTCCCAGGGGCCTGAGGCAGAAGAATCGCTTGAACCCAGGAGGTGGATGTTGCAGTGAGCCGAGATCGTGCCACTGCACTCCAGCCTGGACAAGTGAGCAAAACTCCTTCTCAAAAAACAAACAAAACATGGCTTTCCCTACGTGTTAGATGTTGTGAACTACATTCCTAACTAAAAGTTTACATACATTTCTGTTTGAGCTTCAGAGAAGCTCTGAACCTCATTCAGCTTCCTTCTCAGCTTAGAATTTTCATCTTTCAGCTGTGGAGAAAGAACATCCCTATTAGAAAGCTGGCATGTCTCACTCAAAAAGGGGTGCGCATCTGCGGTCTAACTCTAGAACCTCCTGATACTCAGAGATGCCTGGGTCAGTGCAGCGTCGACCTGTAGCACACTACAAAGGAACACCATGGGTGGAGGTGGAGCTTTTTAAAGACCTGTGGTCACAGATGCCAATTCATTTTACTCAAGAGGCTGGCTCAGTGGCTCACGCCTGTAATCCCAGCTACTCAAGAGGCTGAGGCAGGAGAGTTGCCAGAACCCAGGAGGCGGAGGTTGCGGTGAGCTGAGATTGTGCCATTGCACTCCAGCCTGGGTAACAAGAGTGAAACTCCATCTCAAAAAAAAAAAAAATTTAGCTGGGCATGGTGGTGGGTGCCTGTTGTCCCAGCTACTCGGGAGGCTGAGGCAGGAGAATCACTTGAACCTGGGAGGCAGAGGTTGCAGTGAGGTGAGATCGCGCCACTGCCCTCCAGCTTGAGCACCAGGGTGAGACACTGTCTCAAAAAAAAAAATTGTTTTACTCAGAGCTTACCACCTTTTAGGTGATTATAATTTTTAAAACATGTTCCTCCTCTTAGAATACTTAGCAAGATGTCCCTGGGCTGACAACTGAAGCCAGCCTTTCCTTAGGGTACAGCCCGTTAAGTGCTCAACTGCATCCAATTCACAGTTTCTATCTCACCAGTCCTCTTTTGCCGGTTCTACTCCCATGTGTAACCAAAGGCAAAGTCAAAGGGAAAGTGAACAGTAGATAGTAGTCTGTTACAAGAGTCGTCTTGTCCTGGGACTCAAACCAGGCCACCCAGGAAGCAGGGCAGCTCCAGGTCTCTCGGAGAAGCTCGCTCAGACAGGTGCTGTGCCAGGGCGCCACAAAGCTCACTTACTGCTTCGTAACTTATCTGCAGCGTCCGTAGGTGCCTGTCCCCGAGAGACTCTCCATGAGCCGCAAAGTCTGCGCTAGGACTCCCTGCTGGTGAGGCCAGAGACACTCGGGAATCAGTGTCACTCAATGCCCAAGGGGGCAGAGACTCAGGCCCTGACAGCTCTGCTGGGGTGGAGAGAAAGGAAAGGTATGTGCCAGCAGGGAGCCTCTCGGGGTGAGTCTGCTCCATGGCGGATGGCAGGTAGGCCCCACTCCATCTGGTGTCCTCGTCCTCCTCCTCATCCAGGAGGTCACTGGCCCCTGTTGGGTCTTTGAAAAACGGCTGCTGATACTCCAAGCCATACGCCCCGGTTTGGGAGATTGGGGAGTTGTGGTCGAGTCCCAGCGAATGCCTCGAGGCTTCCTTAAAAAAAAAAATACAGAGGCCATGCTTCTGACTCAGAAGCCACGCACTCCTTCCCATCTCTAGGTTCTGCCTCAGAACATGGAGAAAGGCCCCATCTCGTTTACTGGAAGGAGCCCAGCAGCTTCTGAGCCCAAAGCTGCCCCCAGCACTGCCGCTGCCCTGCCCTGCCCTGCCACACTTTCGCACGACCTCCTCCAAAGGAGGCTGCAGGCCAGAACGGACCAGCCCCACAAGGCTGCTTCTGTCTCAAACCATCGCCAACAACGCTGTGGATTTACCTTTGCATAAATTCTGCTGGCCGGGTCCTCTTTTGACAGGCCGAGGTTCTTGGTCTTTAGAAACTCTTTAAAGGAGAACGGATTTGCCTCTTCAAGATCTTCAAATTTGTCATCTGAAACAACAGACGTCACAAATGCATAAAGCTACTGGAGATTGTTGAAAGGGAACCTTCCTGTTCCCCTCTTTCCAGAGCCCGGCCACATGTGAGGTGGGGTAGCCAAGTGAATCTTTCTCCCATGATTCAGGCAGCCCTGGGAATCACGAAGGCGACTGGAGGTGGACAGTGACGTGGACATGCATCTGCATTTGAAATCTTCTCCTTCCACCCCTCCGCCCCTGCTCCCACACTCTGCTGTCCACAAGAACCCTCTGGGGAGCTGTAAGGCGACCCAGGCCGCTCCACTGCATGCACACATGGAGTTCAGTGGTATTGGCACAAACTGTGCTGGGAGCTCAAAGCTCCTCAGGGGCTGCCAAGTGGGGAAGCCACGGCTCAACCCTCTTCCTGACTCTTCCACCTAGGTAACATGGATAATGCCCACCTTCCCACTCTACAGGGACCTAAGCAGCCACAATTGGCCCTCCCAGCTGTGAGATCCATGTAAAGCTGGCTCCTGTGGTCCAGCCCCTGAGATGGGACTTCTCTGCTCCCTGATGTCCACCCTGCTCAGGTTCTTCTGCCCGTGCACCTCACTTCTATTCTAGGGTAAAGACTGAACCCTTGAAATCCCACCCCTACCCGCTCTATGCGGCTCCAGATACGACACAGATCCCTCACATCGACTGTCCCACCACCAGACACGTGCCTTACACTGTGTTGGATGGAGACAGGAAGAAAAGGTTTCTAAACTACTCTACCTCCAAAATGTGTCTGATGGGCTCCTGATGGGCTTTGCTTAGAACATTTCCCCTTTCCATAGCCAAAATCTGCAAAGAAACAGTCATCCACCATGATGGTGGGAAGCCTTTATGACCTCACATCTTTTTTTTTTTTTCTTTTTTACACGTGGAGTCTCCACTACAGTGGTTCTGACAGCCTAGGGAACTTTAAAAAACACAAGCCCCCGGACTTGTGACCCTGGAGATGGTGTGACTCGCACAGACTGGCTCTGGTGTCTGTGATCTGAAAGAGGCTCTCCGCAGGTTCTGAAGCCCAGCTGGGGCCAGTGTGTCCTCCTGCCTCGTGACACCCCCGAATGTCCTCAGACCCTGGCACAAACACTCCTGCACACCCCGGGCACCCAGCAGCACTTCTTGAGTAGAACAGGGATGAACCAGACCTGGCCACTGCCCAGCTGGGGAGTCAGACGGACTGCTCCAGCTGGGTTTCTAATCACCGCCCAATGGGTGAAGACACCCCCACTCTAGCTCCACGAGGAAAGCGGGCGGGCTCCTGTGCTTCCCTGGGCACTGACCATCCTGTATCGGAACTGTCTGTCTGAAGGGAGGTCTCCTCGCAACCAGACTGTGAGCTCCTCGCAGCGGGACTCCTCCGCCGAGTGGCGCGCAGTGAGCGCTGTGCTCACTGTCCGGTCAATGGACGAACTCCGGCCGCAGCGGAGGTGCCACAGGTGGCGCGGGAACTGGAGGCGTCCCCGGGGCCAGCGCCCTCGTTTCTCACCTGTGTCTCCCACGGAAGCCAGCACCAGGCTGGGCACATAGCACATAAAGGCCGGCCGAATGCCGAAGAAGGGGGAGTCCAGGTCCCTGCCATGAGGGCGCTCACAGTCTAGATGGGGGAGACAAGACCGGCGCTCAAAGAACGCTGGAGCTGGAAGCAACGACAACAGCGACTTTACTGCGTGCCGGGGCGGCCGCCGCCCACCTTGACCGCTGGACTCGGCCCCTGCCCCGCTTACCGTCGGGAATGACGATGCTCCGGGCGCGGGACAGCGGGGTGGCGCCCAAGCGGCGCGGGTAGCCCGACATCGCCGCGGGCCCGGCGGGGCTGCACCTGCCTAGCCCGGCAGCGGCGGCTCCATGGCCCTGGCTCAGCCCGGGCCGCGGCCCCCGTTGCCCGCCCGCTTCCCGCCGCTCGGCAGCCGCCGCTCCTCCAAGCCTCTCGCTGCCGCTTCCGCTCCGACCACCGGAAGCGCGTGCCCGAACGCCTAGAGCCGTCGTCGAGGGGGCGGGGCGCCACATGCGGAAGCGGAAGTGGCGACAGAACCAGAGGGTGGAGACTCAACATGGCGGCTGTGGTGCTGGCGGCGACGCGGATGCTGCGGGGTTCGGGCTCTTGGGGCCGCTCGCGGTTGAGGTGAGCCAGAGGCGAGCCGTGCTCCGGCCTAGGGCCGCGGCGGCTCGAGTTTTTCTGGACGCTCCGTCTTTGGTTTCCATAGAAGACACGGCGTCCGTCGAACGGGCTTCCAGTTGGGGACACTGTCGTCGTCCCCGAGGCGACGGGAGCCCCGCTCTGTCTTGGGCCTCGAGCCCGGGCACGCAGTCCCATCTGTCTCTCCTCTCCTGGCTACCGGGTCCTCTCCCTCCCTTACCTCCCGGGCCGACGGGCCTTGTCCGAGGCCCTGTCTCGTCTCTGCCGCTTCGCTTCTCCTGCGGCGTGCTCCCTCTGGAGGCTAAGCCGGCGGGGCCCAGCTCTTTTAGACCCGCAGGGTTCTGACACCAGAATCCAGGCTCTCGTTTGCGGCGCTCTGTCCGTTGGTCTCTTGATCCCTGACGTTTAAGGACCCTTTCCGTCCCCACCGCTCCTCCCGCCCAAGTGGCCGGGCCTACCTTTCCCCACGGTGGAACTTTCTTCCGGCAGTACAGGCATCGCCCCTCCCCACACAACGAGGTTTTTCAGGGGTGCGGAAGTGCTGCCCCCAGGAGAAAGATACAGCCAGGAGCGTGAACGAAATATCCGCAATCGTGCAAATGCTTTGGAGTAAACAAGCAGCCTTTAGTGATAGAAAATAACAGGAAAGGCCAGGAGCGGTGGCTCACGCCTGCACTTGTGGGACACCGCGGCGGACGGATCACTAGATGAAGGGGTCGAGACCATCCTGGCCAACATGGTGAAATCCCGTCTCTACTAAAAATACAAAAATTATCTGGGTGTGGTGGCACGCGCCAGTAGTCCAGCTACTCCGGAGGCTGAGGCAGGAGAATCGCTTGAACCCGGGAGGTGGAGGTTTCATTGAGCTGAAATCATGCCACTGAACTTCCAGCCTGGAGACAGAGTGAGAGTCCGTTTCAAAAAAAAGAACAGGAAAGAGTAGACTGATGAGGGTAGCCCTCTCTCAGGGTGACATTTAAGGGAAGAGATGAAGAATGGAAGAAGGGGTAGGCACGGGCAAAGGGCAAGGCCTGGAACAGTGAAAATGGTTTGGGGGTGATGAGTCAAATTGTGTTCCAGGAATTAACAGAAGAATCAGTTGACCACGGCCTGTGGGGGTCTGGGGGGTTCAGGAGATGAGTGTGGAGAGGGAGACAGAGGCCAAGTCACACCTCGCCTTTGGACTAGGGTAATAAGGGGTGTGGCTTCTACCTAAGACCTCAGGGATGCAGTTGGAGGGCTTTACGTGGACAGACTGCACTTTTGGAGCGCGCTGCTGTTAATAAACCTTGTTTTACGGAGATGACAACTAAGACCCAAAGGGTGGAACCAGCTTGTTCCAGGTCCTGTGGCTGAGCCTCTGTTGTTAGCCTCTGCTGTCTCACAAAGTCTGTAGAAATAAGTCCTTTAGAAAGGCAAATGTTCACTTTCAATGCAGACAAAACAAAACTAACTTCATCTGAGAGGGCATCACCGGTTTGTGGTCCCAAGCCTGCTGTGACTGGGCCCCTTTCTCTGTTTTAGGTTTGGGCCTCCTGCGCACAGACGGTTTAGTAGTGGTGGTGCCTATCCCAACGTCCCCCTCTCTTCTCCCTTACCTGGAGTACCCAAGCCTGTTTTTGCTACAGTTGATGGACAGGAAAAGTTTGAAACCAAAGTCACCACATTGGATAATGGGCTTCGTGTGGCATCTCAAAATAAGTTTGGACAGTTTTGTACAGTAGGAAGTAAGTACTGTCATGCTGCTGTGGGTGCCCTGCTGTTTGAACATGCACAAGCTTTAGTGGACTGCTGGTTAGCCTGTCAGTTGTGAACTGTACCCTGAGTGGAAACTAAGTGTATGATTTCATAAAGGTTGACCTACACATACACCTGTGAAACTGTCAGCAGCACAGTCATACTTATGTAATTAAATCTGATCATATCATATTGAAATTTTAAAACATTTCTCTTGATAAATCTTATTTTGAATATATGCTTTAACCTGTCAATTTTCTTTTTACTACTAGTTCTTATTAATTCAGGATCAAGATACGAAGCAAAATATCTTAGTGGAATTGCTCACTTTTTGGAAAAATTGGCATTTTCGGTCAGTGTCCAGTTTTATAATTTTTTAGACTATACTTTTGAAGGATGTTTGAAGTTTTTCTTCTTTTAATGGTCATTTTAGTAAACTATTAAGTTGCTAAATTAATGCTAATAAAAGACTTAAAAGATAATTTTTGTGTGTGTGTTTTGAAAGCAAAAGTAAATTTTTAAAATAATTATGTTTTAGGGACAGTAAACATTGTCCCTAAAAACAACTTACTAAGTAAGTTTGCTTACTTAGGTTTTCTTATTTATTTTTACTAGTCTACTGCTCGATTTGACAGCAAAGATGAAATTCTGCTTACGTTGGAAAAGCATGGGGGTATTTGTGACTGCCAGACATCAAGGTACACCATCTTTTATGTACAAATTGACTTCGTGTCCGTATGAACTGACCTCATTGTTGGTTAGATTCCCTCTGAGCCCCTCCCATCAGAGAGGCTGTGGAGATTCATGGGGAGAAGTGAGCCCCATCCTGGGTGGAGAGTTGGGTGGGCAGCGCTTACACAGAGAAGCACGGTCCCCAGGAACCCATTTCACCCCTGTCATTTGATCTGGGCTGTTGGCTGCATGTCAGGGATGTAGAGCAGGCCCTGTTCCCAGAGAGAGCAGAGGGTCTTGCATACATACTGCACCCAGTAGCCAAGGGTGGCAGGAACCAGGAGGATGAGCAGCTGACTTGGTCTGGAATTGGAAGGGAATCATAGAAAACGCAGGATCGGGCTGTTTCCGAAGGAGTTTGCTGGACACAGTGGGCACAAGGCATTCCCAACCAGGAGACAGCAGGGGCCAAAGCTCTGAGCTGGGGAGGTGCTGGCTGCTTGGTAGAGGGAGAGAGGTGATGCCTGGAGCATGGTGGAGTGGTCTCGGCATGCCAGGCGAGGAGCTTGCTCAGAAAGTGCTGGGCGATGTGAGATGGGTGGATACAGATTTTTTAAATGGTTGATTATTTAAGTTTGAATGCTAAAAAAATTACACATAAAAGACACATGGCTGGGCACAGTGGCTCACACCTGTAATTCCAGCACTTTGGGAGGCCGAGGCAGGGGGATCACGAGGTCAAGAGATGGAGACCAGCCTGGCCAACATGGTGAAACCCCGTCTCTACTAAAAATACAAAAATTAGCCAGGCGTGGTGACATGTGCCTGTGGTCCCAGCTACTCGGGAGGCTGAGGCGGAAGAATTGCTTGAACCCAGGAGGTGGAGGTTGCAGTGAGCTGAGGTTGCGCCACTGCACTCCAGCCCAGTGACAGAGCAAGACTCTGTCTCAAAAAAAAAAAAAAACCACGTTAAATGCCAAGAATTAAGTTAGCTTGGAGATAACATACATTCTAAATCAAGGCTTCTTGATAGCTCCTGCCTCCAGGCTGCCCCTGCCTCCAGGCTGCCCCTGCCTCCAGGCTGCCCCTGCCTGGTGTGTGAGGTCCTCCCACTCTTGCCTTGAATCTCACTCCCCCCAGATGAACACCTTCTCCGGTCAGGTGGCCGGTGTCCTGACTCAGACCCAGCCCCTCGCCCTCAGCTCAGGCTTTTGTTCCTGCCATTCTCCCCACGTGGGCCGAGGTCACTGCGACTGGCTCCTCTTCAGGGTGAAGGTCCAGCCAAGTCTCCTCTTCAGAGGCACTGGTGACCACATCCTGCCTGCCACACTACCTCTTCTTCGAGGCTGTTGTGTCTGTTCTGCATGGTCTCACTTGGTCACAGTTGATCTCAGATCGCCCCATGATTCTGTGCCTGTTCCACGGACCAGCTTTGTGCGCTTCTGACTGTCTCATGCCGTGAACAGATGTTAAATCAAGACAGAAGCTCCGTATAAGCCAGCCATTGCTGTCCCTCGAGCCATCCAAGGCCGGGCATGTTTCCACACTGACCAGTGGGGCTCGTTCAGGAAACGGGAGGCTGGGATGAATACTTGACCTTTTGAGAGAGACTGCAGTTAGAAAAACCTCTTTCAGAAGTGGCTCCATTTTGACTGAAGCTGTGTGTAGCTGTGAGTCCTGCCTCCGAAGCATTTACACCTTAAGACAGGAAAAGGGAAAGGGAAAGGTGTTTGTTGGTCCCCAACAAAAGGGTAGGAAGTGCCCCTGGCATGCCAGGCCCGAATATCCCCCACCTGTTCAGCAGAGTGTGAGCTCAGGACCCGGCATTGTCGGCTTGTTTTTTCTTACAGAGACACTACCATGTATGCTGTGTCTGCTGACAGCAAAGGCTTGGACACGGTGGTCGGCTTACTGGCTGATGTGGTTCTGCAGCCCCGGCTAACAGGTGCGGATCCCAGCTGCTGGTGTTTGAGGTGGGCCTGGACGTAGGGAAGACCAGAAAGGTTTGTGGAAGCGCTGCAGCCGTGAGGAAGAGCTCTGTGTTATTGGAGCTTTAGGCCAACACAGAGTGACAGCGAGATCCATGAGAAACAGGCTGGGGCCGGGCACAGTGGCTCACACCTGGAATCCCTGGACGTAGGGAAGACCAGAAAGGTTTGTGGAAGCGCTGCAGCCGTGAGGAAGAGCTCTGTGTTATTGGAGCTTTAGGCCAACACAGAGTGACAGTGAGATCCATGAGAAACAGGCTGGGGCCGGGCACAGTGGCTCACACCTGGAATCCCAGGACTTTGGGAGACTTAGGCAGGTAGATCGCTTGAGCCCAGGAGTTTGAGACCAGCCTGGGCAACATGGAGAAACCCTGTCTCAACAAAAAACATAAAAGAATTTACTGGGTGTGGTTGCTTATACTTGTCCCAGCTACTCAGGAGGCTGAGGCAGGAGAATCACTTGAACCCAGAAACCAGGTTGCAGTGAACGGAGATCGTGCCATTGCACTCCAGCCTGAGCGACAGAGTGAGACTGTGTCTCCAAAAAAAAAAACGAAACAGAGGCACAGACAGATGTCAGGGGTGCTGGGATTATAGGCATCTGCCACCACGCCCAGCTAATTGTTGTATTTTTAGTAGAGATGGGGTTTTACAATGTTGGCTAGGCTGGTCTTGAACTCTTGACCTCAGGTAATCCACCTGCCTTAGCCTCCCAAAGTGCTGGGATTACAGGCATGGGCCACCGTCCCCAGAATGTGCCTCACTTTCTAAGCACCTCGATATCTGCTCTTGTGTCCTCATAGCAGCACTTGGGATGTACAGGTCAGTATCATCAGTGCCTTTCACCAGCAGGGAAGCCAGAGCTTAGCAGGCCCACGTGGTTGCTTCGTGGCTGAGGTGGGATGAGAGGCCTAGGCCCCAGCCCCCCAGCTCCTGCTCCCCATGGCAGCCCCCCTCACTTATACAAGCACCCAGCTTGCCCCTAGATGAAGGCAGAGTGACTGCCAGCAGCCACCAACAAGCAACACTCAGCCCAGCACACAGGCTCTGGGTCGCTGCTGTGTTCATCATCTGTGCCTGTGCAGACCAAGCCCTCATCTTTGGGTTCTCTTGCAGATGAAGAGGTGGAGATGACGCGGATGGCGGTCCAGTTTGAGCTGGAAGACCTGAACATGCGGCCTGACCCAGAGCCACTCCTCACTGAGATGATTCACGAAGTAAAACGTCAAACTGGCGAATGCCCCTGCCTCCCAATCAGTGGCACCGGGGTGGTGGGGAGGGGCTGCTTTGCCTCCTTTCTCTTGTCCTTGCAGTTTATGGGTGTGCAGGACACTTTAGTTTTTGTGTTTTGAGCTGAGATCTCTCCATATTGCCTACACTGGTCTCGCAGTCCTGGGCTCAGCTCAGGTGATCCTGCTGCCTGTGCCTCCCAGGTATCTGGGATTATAGGCATGGGCCACTGCGCCCAGCTTAAAACATTCTTGTTGTTTGAGACAGTTTTGTTCTTGTTGCCCGGGCTAGAGTGCAGTGGCACAATCTCGGCTCACTGCAAACTCCACCTCCTAGCCTCAAGCGATTCTCCTGCCTCAGCCTCCCAAGTAGCTGGGATTACAGGTGCCCGCTAGTATGACCAGTTGATTTTGTATTATTAGGAGAGACGGGGTTTCTCCTTGTTGGTCAGGCTGGTCTCAAACTCCCAACCTCCCGACCTCAGGTGATCCACCCTCCTCAGCTTCCCAAAGTGCTGGGATTACAGGCATGAGTCACCCCACCTGGCCCACTCTTGATTTCTGAGTCTGTTATTTATGCAGTGTTTGTATTTTCCAATTCTTATAGTAACTAGGTTTTTACTTCAGTTAATCTTACAGTTTTTGTGAATTTTTATTCTTGAGAGACAGATTTTATTATTTTTATAAATACACACACAGCCGCTGTTGCCAAACTAACTAAAATACCAGCTTGCATAGGATTTTCCCAGGGCCTGGCTGGAGCGGGTGGTGGTGCTGCTTGCCGGAGGAAGCCTGTCGTGCTGTCTCAGTCACCTGTGTCTGTCTCTTCCCCATTAGGCAGCTTACAGGGAGAACACAGTTGGCCTCCACCGTTTCTGCCCCGCAGAAAACATAGCAAAGATGAGTCGAGAAGTACTGCATTCCTACCTAAGGAACTACTACACCCCTGACCGCATGGTGCTGGCCGGCGTGGGCGTGGAGCATGAGCACCTGGTGGAATGTGCCCGCAAGTACCTCCTGCGGGTCCTGCCGGCCTGGGGGAGCGTGGAGGCCGTGGATGTCGACAGATCCGTGGCCCAGTACACTGGGGGGATTGCCAAGGTGACGTGGTGGGAACACCTCACGGCCTCTGGTGGTAGACTGTGTCTGGGCCTGTGTTGTGGTGGCGGGAACATCTCATGGCCTCTGGTAGTAGACTGTGCCTGGGCCGGTGTTGGTGGCGCGCTCTGTGTTGATTCTGAGGGCAGTGGGCCCTGACTGCAGTTGTGGCTTTGCCTGACCACGTACTGCGGTTCATAGCAGGGCATGTACTGTGCCCCTGCTGAGGGTGCTTGCTCACTGCTGGGCCTGAGTGCAGCGCCCCCACCCCCGCAGAAGGTGGCCACCGTTCTTACCTTAAGGGGGTGGATCTGCAGGGTCTGCATTGCAATTTTTTTTTTTTTTTCAGATGGAGTCTCACTCTGTCACCCAGGATGGAGTGCAGTGGTGTGATTTCAGCTCACTGAAACCTCCACCGGGTTCAAACAATTCTCCTGCTTTAGCCTCCCGAGTAGCTGGGATTACAGGTGCCCATCACCACAGCCGATTAATTTTTGTATTTTTAGTAGAGACTTGATTTCACTATGTTGGCCAGGCTGGTCTTGAACTTCTGAGCTCATGATCCGCCGCCTCCCAAAGTGCTGGGATTATACGCATGAGCTACTGTGCCTGGCTTGGTTTTTTTTTTTTTTTTGAGATGGGTCCCACTCTGTTACCCAGGCTGGAGCACAGTGGTGCTGTTGTAGCAGACTGCAGCCTCAGCTTCCTGAGCTCAAGCAGTCTTCCCACCTCGGCCTCCCAAGTAGCTAGGACTACAGGCACACTTTACCACATCCAGTTAATTGGGGTTTTTTTTGAGACAGGTCTTGCCCTATTGCTTAGGCTGGAGTGCAGTGGTGCGATCTTGGCTCACTGCAGCCTGGCCCCAAGCAAGCCTCCTGCCTCAGCCTGTGCAAGTAGCTGAGACTACAGGTGTGTGCCACCATGCTTAGCTAACTTCTTTGGTAGCAATAGAGTTTCGCCATGTTGCCTAGTCTGATCTTGAACTCCTGGATTCAAGTGATCTGCCCACTGTGACCTCCTGAAGTGCTAGGATTGTAGGCATGAGCCACTGTGCCCGGCTGGCACTGGATTCCTGCATAACCACTCTGAATATGACCTGATCTGGGGTTTGCCAGTCCTTGCTGTCTCTCACATGGCGATGCTTGCTTGTTTTCTTGGTTACAGCTGGAAAGGGACATGTCCAACGTCAGCCTGGGGCCGACCCCCATCCCCGAGCTCACACACATCATGGTCGGACTGGAGAGCTGCTCCTTCATGGTGAGTCTTAGAGCTGGGTCCGGTGGCGTTCCTCACGTGGCATTGGCTGTTCAGCCAGCTCTGCCCTCGTCCCTGGAGTCTGACGGTGCTCCTGACGCGGCGTGGGCTGCTCAGCTCTTTCCTCCGTCCCGCAGGAGGAGGACTTCATCCCCTTTGCTGTGCTGAACATGATGATGGGGGGAGGCGGCTCCTTCTCAGCCGGTGGGCCCGGCAAGGGCATGTTCTCCAGGCTCTACCTTAACGTGCTTAACAGGTTGGTTGCTTTTCCGTACCCTCAGGCCAGGCCAGGCCAGGCCAGGCATGTATTTGAACCGCGAGGCCCCCTTCAATGATTCTCCAGTTTCATGTGGCCTGATATTGGCGAGTCCTTCTTACCTCCCATGACTCTTGTGTCCTCCCAGGCACCACTGGATGTATAACGCGACCTCCTATCACCACAGCTATGAGGACACTGGCCTCCTGTGCATCCATGCCAGTGCCGACCCAAGACAGGTGAGGGCTCCACCTGCCACGTCCTCCAAGTGCCCTTCCTGACCTGGGCGTCCCTGGCCTGACGGGTCAGCAGGCTGGTGGGCGCAGGCCACACTCATCATTTTGCCCTTCTTCGCAGGTTCGAGAGATGGTAGAAATCATCACAAAGGAGTTTATTTTAATGGGCGGAACCGTGGACGTGGTAAGTGAGGTGTGGCACCAGTCCCAGGCATGCCCATGGTGTCTGACAGGAGACAGCCACATTGTAGGAGTGGCCACCTGTGAGCCTGGTCCCCAAGCTTCAGGGCCAAGGTCCCAGCAGGGCAGGGTGGCCAAGGAAGCCCAGCCTGGGGCTGAGCTGCTCCACCTGGGAGCCCACTGGGGCTGTTCTTCCCTGAAAACAGACCAGTGCCCTCCCCCAGCGCTGGATCCACTTCCACTTCCTCTTCCTCTGAGCCACTGTGTGAGTCATGGGACCGACCACGTGACCCTTTCCGCTTTGCTGGGGAAAAGCTAGAGGAGTTTGGGGTCCTCCTCAGCCGTCCCTTCGAGATGACTGTGGGGCAGGGAAGCAGCTCCCACAGGTGAGCTGCAGTGCTGGGTGTCTCCAGCCTTTCCTTGGCTCCATTTTAACTTAGAAACTGTTTGTTTGCCAATACTTTTGTTTTGTTTTCTATTTTTTGAGATAGAGTCTTGCTCTGTCGCAGAGGCTGGAGTGCAGTAGCTTGATCTCGGCTCATGCAACCTCCACCTCCCAGGTTCAAGCAATTCCCCTGCCTCAGCACCCCGAGTAGCTGGGATTACAGGCGCCCGCCACCACGCCCAGCTAATTTTTGTATTTTTAGTAGAGATGGGGTTTCACCTTTTTGGCCAGGCTGGTCTGGAACTCTTGACCTCAGGTGATCTGCCAGCCTCGACCTCCCAAGATGCTGGGATTACAGGCGTGAGCCACTGTGCCTGCCTTTTTACTAAGTGTTAAAGCTTAGTTTTTGATGTTTTATGTGTTTGGAAAACTTGTTACTTCCTGGACCAGAACTGGTACAAATAAGTTTTTTTTTGTTTTTGGAGACAGTCTTACTTTGTCTTCCAGGCTGGAGTGCAGTGGTGCGATCTCAGCTCATTGCAACCTCTGCCTCCCAGGTTCAGGTAATTCTCCTACCTCAGCCTCCTGAGTAGCTGGGATTACAGGTGTGCGTCACCACCCCTAGCTAATTTATTTTTTCCTCGCGAGATGGAGATTTGCTCTGTTTCCTAGGCTGGAGTGCAGTGGTGCCATCTCCGCCTCCTGGGTTAAGGTGATTCTCCTACCTCACCCTCCCGAATAGCTGGGATTACAGGCACCTGCCACCACACGTGGCTGATTTTTGTATTTTTAGTAGAGACGGGGTTTCACCATGTTGGCCAGGCTGGTCTCGAACTCCTGACTTCAAGTGATCCACTCTCCTCGGCCTCTCAGGAAAAGAAGTGTTATTGAAGAAATAAAATTGTGTTTAAGCCGGGCGCAGTGGCTCACGCCTATAATCCCAGCACTTTGGGAGGCCGAGGCAGGTGGATCATGAGGTCAAAGAGATCGAGACCATCCTGGTCAACAAGGTGAAACCCCGGCTCTACTAAAAATACAAAAATTAGCTGAGGAGCATGATGGTGCACCCCTGTAGTCCCAGCTACTCGGGAGGCTGAGGTAGGAGAATTGCTTGAACACAGGAGGCGGAGGTTGCGGTGAGCCGAGATCATGCCATTGCACTCCAGTCTGGGTAATAACAGCGAAACTTCGTCTCAAAAAAAAAAAAAAATTGTGTTTAAAACTAATCTTCAGTTCCACTAGTGCACTGCTAGAAACAGTTTTCTCCACTACTGTGAAGTCAACTTGAAATATATTTAGGTATTTGCCTAAAGTTAAAAAAGATTTGTCGAAATTAAAATTATTTTACTTAGAGAAAAAAAATTACTTAAAAAAACAGTATAGAGGCCAGGTGCAGTGGCTCATGCCTGCAATCCCAGCACTTTGGCAGACCAAGGTGGGGGATCACTCAAGCCTAGGAGTTCAAGACTGGCCTGGGCAACATACCAAGATCGTGTGTCTATTAAAAAATGTAGAATCTCCGAGGCCTGTCAGTTTTGGCGTTTGTTTCAGTGTGCTGGCTCCTGGGTCTGCCAGCATGTCATTCTCAGCACCCCTACCTGGGCCCTGAGACCGCAGCCTGTGACTCTTGCTGTCCCCAAGAACCTCTCAGGGGCATTGCTAAACTCAGCTGCCTGGGCCCTGCACTAGGGTGTCTGGGGAAGCCCCAGAAACTGTTTCATTTGTTTTCCCCCGACTTTGCTGTGTGGCCACTTTGGGGTCCTGGCATTTAGGAGGTTACTGTTTTGCCCTCTCCTGCTGCATGTCACACAGTGAGTGAGAAGGAAAAGAGGCACATTTCTCCCTTACTTCGATTGTGGTGGAAGCCTGGTGACATGCAGCACAGCCCTTCCCTAGAAAACCCGAAGGGGACACCGGCAGGGTTGCTTGTGAGTTGGGGCTGGGACCTGGAACCTGTAGGGAGGCCCTTCCCTTTCTTATTTTCAGCTTTGGGCACAGAGATGGCCTTTTGCCATCGCTCAAGTGGGGATGGAAGGCAGCACGCGGTGGGTGTGCGCTCACCTCACCTGACCCTGGCCCCAGGTGGAGCTGGAGCGAGCCAAAACACAGCTAACGTCCATGCTTATGATGAACCTGGAGTCCAGGCCCGTGATCTTCGAGGACGTGGGGAGGCAGGTGCTGGCCACTCGCTCCAGAAAGCTGCCGCATGAGCTGTGCACGCTCATCCGTGAGTACTGAGGGGCAGTGTGGCGCTGCTGCAGGCCTCAGCCAGACTCGGAGGGGGCCGTCTCGCACTCCCGAAGACAGTGGTGGGCCTGTGCTGTGTCTCCCATACCAAGAAGCCGAGGCCTTTGCCGTTTGTCCTCACCAGGGGTAACCAGGGGTGGCCAAGGGCAGGCTGTGGGGTTGCAGACCTGATCTCACTTTTCAGCCCCACTGTGTACCTGTGGATGCCTTGGCAGGTGAGCCCACTCTTTGTGCCCCTGGGAGGGGCTGTCAGTACTGCCCTGAGTTGCTAAAGAGGACTCGAGTTAGTGGGTGAATGGGCTCAGTTGAACACCGCCGTGTTGTGTGAGGAGCAGCCAAGGCTCGGGACGGCGCTGTGCCGCGGTGGCTGCGGTAGGAGTCTCGGCCCCAGGTTTCTTAGGAATGACTTTAGGAGGTCTGAACTTCCTCACGATGTGTGCCAAGTTGTGGGTGCATGGGACTCTCCTGGGCCCCAGGCTCAAACCCCAGCACAGGCTGCTTAAGTTGGGGTGGCTCGGGCCTATGGTGTCACCTGTGGGCATATCCTGGCCAGGGTGGAGTCCTGTGGGGGACAGGCCCTTCCCCTGCACCGTGGGTCCTTGTTCTTCCCACTCAGGAGCCCCCACTGAGACCCTCCAGCGAGTGCACAGAAAACAGACCCTCCTGGTCCCCATCACCCCTGTCCTGGGGTTCCTGGGTGCAGCCCTCTGTCCTCTGTCTGACTCCACCTTCTTTCCATGTACCCCTCAGGGCTTGGGTTTTTTTCTGCAGGCCCATTGCGAAGTTAACTCATGAGACGAGGAGCTAGTTCTTTGAATACAACTCCTCTTCCGTGGGTGCGTCCTGCATTTACAAATCGTTTTCCTTGTAGTTGTTGTTGACAGTCTTGCGCTGTCACCCGGGCTGGAATGCAATGGTGCAGTCTTGGTTTACTGCAACCTCTGCCTCCTGGGTTCAAGAGATTCTTCTGCCCCGACCTCCCGAGTAGCTGGGATTACAGGCACCCACTACCATGCCTGGCTAACTTTTTGTATTTTTAGTAGGGATAGGGTTTCACCATGTTGGCCAGGATGGTCTTGAACTCCTAACCTTGTGATCTGCCTATCTCTGCCTCTCAAAGTGCTGGGATTACAGGCGTGAGCAACCACACCAGCCAAAAATTGTTTTAAATCATTGCCACGTCCTCATTTAGTGAGAACTCACTTCTGTCACTTTTGGGCACACCCTTGGCCACAGCCAGTGGCTGCCTTTGGGCCCAGGAGCCCCCAGAAGCAGTGCAGGGTGAGTGAGTGGCGCAGACCAGCCCCCCCTGTGCATTTAGTGACGTAGCCTTGGCATGGAGGCTGTGGCATGTTTGTCTGACGCACATTTGCCTCTGCACTAGGCAACGTGAAGCCAGAAGATGTGAAGAGAGTTGCTTCTAAGATGCTCCGAGGGAAGCCGGCGGTGGCCGCCCTGGGCGACCTGACCGACCTGCCCACTTACGAGCACATCCAGACCGCCCTGTCCAGCAAGGATGGGCGCCTGCCCAGGACGTACCGGCTCTTCCGGTAGAGCTGCTGCCTGGCCGGATGGACCCAGGAGCTGCTGCCAGAGCTCTTTCCCACACGTTAGTTTGAACACAAATTTAGTGTAAGAAGCCGTCTGGTTGTAGAAACAGCACACTGTCACTAGCGCACCCACACAGTTTGCGTTCCTTCAGAACTGAACGTGTCAGTCAGTGGGGTCACCCCCTGACCACTGCAAGCCAGGAAGTGCTGAGGCTGGGGCGCAGCTGCTATCAGGAGGCCAGGTCGGTCGGGTCCCCCCTCTCAGGGGCTCTTGGCACGTGCAGCCCTTCAGGTTCCTTGAGAGGAGCCGGCCCTGAGCAGGGGAAACAGCCAAAGCCAGCCTATCTCAGCCTCCCAGGGGCCGCTGGGTTCCTGTGCAGGGTGCCAGGACTCACTGACAGACGGGGCGAGGCAAGGGCCCATCCTGCATGTGCACGCCCGCTTCCCTGGTAATAAAGAGCTGGCATCTTTCTTAGCGCCGTGTTTTCTTTCTTGCCTGGGGAGGCATGGTTCTTAAAGGCCGTCTGAATGCGCAGCTTTTCCAGGATGTAAACCTTCCTCCTGAGAATCACCCGCTTTCACCCAGTGTTGTGAAGCCTGTTCTTTGCTTGCGCGATGGGCTGATTTCAGAGGTGGTGCAGCGTGCACAGGGCGGAATGACAGGGTGGCGGCGAGCGCAGCAAAGCCTGCAGGTGCTTTCCGGGTAGGAGCACCCCCCCACGCCAAGGAGTGGCCGCAGACGGTGTTTCTGGAGCCCTGGAAGGCCACAGGGCTTAGGGAGGAGCTGCTACAGGGTAACTTTTTATGTGGTGTAAAAACTTATACAAGTTCTCAGATGTCCATAGAAACTGCAGAGGCTCCAAGGGGTGGTGGGGAGATGGGGCCTGGGAACCTGCATGGGCTGCCTTGGCCGGTTCCCATGCTGCCACAGTCCAGGGTGGCTTACTGCACACGAGTCGTGGACTGCACAGAGCTGTGCGGCATCGTTTGTCAGAACAGTCTCTACTCCTGCTTTTGAGTAAGTAGCTGAGAAGCCTGGCCTTTTTGCAGGACAGATGGGAGAGGGAGTGGATATTTTCAGGAAGTAAAACTTGGAAGCATTACTGGTTTCCCAGCCTCTGACTGTACTCTGGCTATTGTAGTTTCTCTAAGATCTGGTGCCTTTACAACACACATACCAAGAAAGAGGACTGCTTGACTTTGCCCATGTGGGAAGTGTCAGCTTGCCGCCCACCTGGCGGGATTGGAGGGCTGGAGCCAGAGGACGGCGATGTCTTGACCGTGGATTTTGTTAGAAACATCCTGCTGTTACCACACCTGGGGCAAAAGAGCTCTTGGCAGCACACCGCCCCCCTATGTTCACGGTGCAGGGAACACGGCTCCCATGCCGTGGGTGTCAGGCCTGGGGGTGAGCTGACTCCAGTGAAGCTGGGCCTGCTACAACAGAGGCTGTGTAGCCCAAGGACATTCTAGAAACTGCCACCAGCTAGCTCTCCAGGTCTGGTGGTTTGGAAGCCAAGGCCAGCACGGGTTTTCTGTGTTCCCTGCCGCCCACTGCAGGGTCTCCCTCACCGCTGCCTCGGCCTCTCTGACCGCAGTCTGCACACCTTCCCACCACATTCCTCCCACTTTGCTTTTAGGAACTAAGGTGCACTTGAGTTTGTTCGCACTCGCTGCCTTTTTAGGACAGACATCTACCCCAGGCAGGTCATTTGGTTCATTCTAGTATCCCTGCTGGTGGCTAGACCGTCTGGCATGGAGCAGGGTGAGGAAAACACTTGCTGAATGAAGGACACAGGCAGAGCATGCTTGAGAGAATGAGAGCTGAATTGTCTTTTTTGTGTGTGTGTGAGACAGAATCTTGCTCTGTTGCCCAGGCTAGAATGCAGTGGCACAATCTCGGCTCACTGCAACCTCTGCCTCCCCAGGTCCAAGCCATTCTCCCACCTCAGCCTCCTGAGTAGCTGGGATTACAGGTGCGTGCCACCACACCTGGCTAAGTTTTGTATTTTTAGTAGATACAAGGTCTCACCATGTTGGCCAGATTGGTCTTGAACTCCCAACCTCAGGTGGTCAGCCTGCCTTGGCCTCCAGAGGGCTGAGATTACAGGTGTGAGCCACCACACCTGGCCCTGAGAGCTGAATTTTTAAAACCGCCTGCGCACAGTCTTATTTCACTTTTTTTTTTTTTTTTGAGACAGTTTTGCTCTTGTTGCCCAGGCTGGAGTGCAGTGGTGCAACATCGGCTCACTGCCATGTCCGCCTTGCGGGTTCAAGGGCTTCTCCTGCCTCAGCCTCCCAAGTAGCTGGGATTACAGGCACCCACCACCATGCCTGACTAATTTTTTGTATTTTTAGCAGAGACGGGGTTTCACCATTTTGGTCAGGCTGGTCTCAATTCCTGACCTCAGGTGATCCGTCTGCCTCAGTCTTCCAAAGTGCTGAGATTACGGGCATGAGCCACCACACCTGGCCACTTTTTTTTTCCTTTTACCAAATTTAGCAGTGGGGGATTGTATACCAAAGTTGACACTAATATTAAGTTAATTAACATCCACTACTATCAGACTTTTTTTTTTTTTGAGACGGAGTTTCGCTCTTGTTAGCCAGGCTGGAGTGCAGTGGCGCGATCTCGGCTCACTGCAACCTCTGCCTCCTGCGTTCAGGCAATTCTCCTGCCTCAGCCTCCCGTGTAGCTGGACTACAGGCCACTCGGCTAATTTTTGTATTTGTAGTAGAGACAGGGTTTCACCATATTGGCCAAGCTTTCTTCAACTCCTGACCCTGTGACCCACCCCTCTCGGCCTCCCAAAGTTCTGGGATCACAGGTGTGAGCCACTGCCCCCAACCCAGGAGACTGATTTTTATCAAGAGATTGGGTGTTTCTTGTTTCAGAGACTGATTTTTATCAAGAGATTGAGTGTTCTTGTTTCCGTACTTTTTAAGCTGCTGCTGATAAAAGTTTTAACTCGATGAATTGTTGATAACCAGCATGGTTCATCAGGTCTGAAGTATTATGTCTGTGTCTTCCTCAAAAGGCTCTTTTCCAACTACTGCTGATCTCTGGGGCAGTGAACTAGGAATGCAGGACTTACCTATGTTTTTGAGATGGGAATCTTGATCTGTTGCCCAGGCTGGGGTGCAGTAGCACCATCTGGGCTCACTGCAACCTCTGACTCCTGGGTTCAAACGATTCTCCTGGCTCAGCCTGGGATTACAGGTGCACACCACCCCTGGCTAATTTTTGTATTTTTAGTAGAGATGGGGGGGGGTCTCGAACTCCTGACCTGAGATGATCCACCTGTCTCAGCCTCCCAAAGTGCTGGGATTACAGGCATGAGCTGCTGTACTGGCCAAAGATTTTAAAGAGCAGAGATGAACCGGACAAGAGGCAGGTAAGCTGTTGAGGGCAGAGACCATATTTTTGCCTGCAAGGACGTTGTGAGAACAGGGTGTGTGTGAGTACTGTTTCTTCCACATTACGGTCTTTGACCAGAAAGAGTTTAGACTCAATATATACATTTATTTAAAAATATAAATATGGAAAAATAAATAAGACTAGATTGAATGTGCCTAGATTTTCACATTCAAAGACCACATTTTTTTCAAGAGATGGGATGGGACACAAAGCAAGAGTGAATGCATCTGAGCTTTCCAAGCAGAGCCTGGGGCGTGGGGACAGACGTATCTGAACTCTCCAAGAAACAGCCTGGACCTGGGGGGATCCCTGGTCTTGGTGTTCACGGTGGTGGCGTCCTAGGCTTCCAGCAATTTCCTGGCCAGGCTCCACATGGCTCCATTAACTTCATTCTGTGGCTTTAGTTACAGAAGCTAATGGTTTAATTCACCAAAGCCACGACAGGCTTTCTTGCCTGCAGGCTTGGCCTATGAGAGAGGGGAGGTGGCTTCTTACTCCGGGGGGTAGGGTTGGCCCTTATGCTGGGGTGCTGGCCTCCTTGCCCCATGGCAGGTGATCTGCAGCCTAGTGAGGGGTGATGGTTACATCCTGGAAACTGGATTCTTCAGCTGGGCTCTGGGACCCGCTCTGAGGTCTGAGGCCTGAGGGTCACTCACTGCAGACCCAGCCTCACTCTGGACACCTGTGTGACAAGGAAGGACCCAGCCCTTGGTGTGTGTTTGAGGGGCTGGCGAGAGGACACAGATGGGCACCTGCTGCAGATGTGGAGGCCGGTGCAGAGCACGGGGCCCAGTGACTCCCCAGGGCATGGGAGCTGCTGAGGACCGGATTCTGATGTCACCCAGAGTGTCCAGGGTGTGGTGCCGCCAGGCAGGTGTAAGCCCTGCCCACCCATGCTGGCAGACCTGCCATGGACAAGGGTGGGCTCGCTCAGCTGTGAGGGGTGGCTTCCTTCCAGGGATGCTGGCACAGCGGCACGGTCACCACAGTCCTGTGGCCCGGCATTGGTTCTTGGGTCCCCAAAAGGCGGCCAATTCTTTGTTCTTCCCAGTGGGTTTTGCTAAGATACAACCATCCCATCTTGCAGTTTTGAGTCCTTGTTCCGTAGACTTCAAGAAACGGAACAGATGGTGCTGGAGCTCTGATTCTGTAGCGCTTGCTGCCTCTGAATTTCCTTCGAAATCCGTCTTTTAATTCCTATCAAGTACAGTTCTCTATCAAATTTGCCAGCTGCCAATGGAATGCTGTGGAAGAGGGTATATTAGGAGGATGCCTGGAGATCCAAGGAGCAATGATTAGGAAAGGGGCTGGGGACCTGAGGGGGTGTTAGGAGGGGGCCGGGGACCCGAGGAGGGGGCGTTAGGAGGGGGCTGGGGACCCAAGGAGAGGACATTAAGAGGGGCCTGGGGACCTGAGGAGGGGGCTGAGCCCAGAATAGGGGGCATTAGGAGGGGGCCAGGACACGGAGGAGGGGCTGTTAGGAGGGCGCTGGCCACATTGGTGCTGCCTCTAAGCACAGGAGGCTTGTTCCTGAGACAGAGTTGCAGGAAGGACGGAGCAGATGCTTTGAGTGCTCACTTCCTCCTTCCAGCCAGTCACACCCAGGCCCTTAGCTGGCCTCTCCTCACCCTCGGGATCCTCTCCCCTTCCCGCCTTCTTCCCGTTCCAGGAGTCCCACTGGACACACAGCCCTGAAGGTCCCAGGACAAAGCCCCATGTGCAACCCCATGATGACAGGGACCCTCCTGGTTCCCGGGACAATGGCACACGCCCTGACATCCACCTGCGCCACCCTCCAGGCACAGCCCTGCCCCTGGCCCGAGAGGAAGGCGTGAAGAGGACACTGACTTGTCTCGCCCGGGCCTCACTTTCACCCGGAACAGGCCGTACACAGGGCGGTGGTCGGACGTCCTGATCCCGGTGCAGGAAGAGTACCTCACTGGACAGATGTCACCCTTGTGGCGGCTTCGATACAAGACGCGGTCCTTCGGGAAGGTTCCGGAGGCAGGAGGTCCAGTTACTTGCCAGGAGCTGTGGGGTGTGGCCCACCTACCTCC